AAATTAGAACGACAGAATGATATCACAATCATCAAACGTCCTTCTCACACCAGCCACCTTCTTCAGCCTTTGGATTTAGCCGTATTTAAGTATATAAAATACGCTTGGGACCAACAACTCGTAACCTAGCAGAGACATAATACTGTCCTTAAAATTAAAAAAAGAGCTTTCTCTGACGATGGGTACTACATGGAAAAACTTAAGCGTAGAAATGATCAAAAACGGGTTTAGAAAAGCTGGTTTATTATATATTTAACCGTTATGTCATACCAGAGCAAAAAATACCACCCTGAAAGCATAAAAAGATCATCTACGAAAAATAAAGTTGTTAGACATTTACCACCGCCTATTTCTATTCCCATTCCGAATACTTGTTTCCTTGACTGCTCTAGCGATGAATGAATATATATATTTAAATAAGACCGGATATAGACAACATCCTTGTTTAAGCCCCTTTGTTATTGGAAATGATTCAGATATAAAGTTTCCTTCTTTAACGACACTTCTTGCATTTTTGTATATATTTGCGATAACATTCACATAATCCCTACTGAGACCAACTTTCGTCAATGTTTGAAACAGATTTTTCAAAGATACCTTATCGTATGCCTTCTCTAAATCTACAAACAATAGGTGGGTAGATAGATTCCTTGCCTTCCGTTTTTGGATTACCTGCTGCAGAAAGAATATACCATCAGTGCACAATCTTCCTGCACGAAATCCATTTTGTTCTTCTATGTCTTCGTATTCTGATTCTATTCTTTCTTTTATTATTCGACCGTACAACCTCCCAACTGAGCTGATAACAGTTATTCCATTATAATTAGAGCATTTGTGTTTTCTTGATTATTGAGCTGATGTATCCAACATTCCAATCATCAGGCATATTTTGTCCTTAAGCATTTGTTAAATAGTTGAACTAACATCTCATGTAATATTTTTGGTCTATACTTTACCAACTCAATTGGGATGTCTCCAGGTCCTGCTGCTTTACCGTTTTTCGATCTTTTAAGAGCATCCCTTAACTCTCCAGTTGTTATCTCAATAATTTGTGTATGTTCGGATATTTCTTCCATTTCGATGTCTTGGAATTTACATCTATCCTCTGCCAGTAAGAGCTCATAATGGTGTTTCCACTGTTTTAGATCTATTAACTGTAAGTTAGATTTTTCCCTTCCTTCCCTCCTGAGAGACTTTATCACCTTCCACGCTTGCCCAACTCTTGTTCCAAACATATACCTATCCACCTCTGCACATCTTCGATCCCACATCTCATATTTACTTTTTACTACTTCAATTAGTAATTTTAAATTATATTAATAGAGAATCATCAAAAGTTTTAAATTTAAAACAAATGAACTGGTATATGGTCTCAAGACTGAAGCATGTTAAAATTTCTTTAAATTATTCCCCTTAGAAAATTACTTTCATGCCACTTATGTTATACCTATATTTTGTTAAAAGCCTTAAAAATAACCTAACAGCAACGAGCGATTTGTTACGCTTTTTTTTTTAACAATGAAATATTTCGCCAAATGTTCTCTGTTCTTTTTATCTATCCGTTGCTAAATAGAAATCTTTCCTAATAACAAAGGAATCAGTGCCTATTGTGATGTACCAGGTCTACCTTCTCAGAAAAGCAGAAGAGTTGGTTTTCGGTGAAAGTATAATTCCTGTCGGGAGAGAGTGGTTAGGTAACAAAAATGACCACACTAGCCATGCTATTTAAATATCAATTTTGCGTGGCACTGTTCAGCCAATACTCCCACTCCTTTTGTATCTTTAGCTTACCTAAGATCAGAATTCGAATTCATTTTCGAGTTGATTCCTGTGGCAAGCGGTTTGTCTCCATCACACGGCGGTAAGTGTATTTTCAATTCACCCTTATCTATATAAAATATCTTTACACAGTGTGTCCTATATTATTCTCTCTTTTGTCAAACAGACGTCTTCCAATTCGAAGGAACGAAGTCACTTCTGTTTGCTGATCATTGATCTCTACCTTCATTCATCTCTGCTGTTGGACGCCTTCATTCGTCTCTACGTTCATTTATCTCTACTAATTACTACTACCTGTGCCATTTCTGTCTGACTGTTTCGCTTTTCGTCCGCCTAAATTAATTCGAGGGATTGCGGATTGAAGACCACAATTCGTTGCTGTACCTACCTGTTGCCAGGACCAAGTGTCAAGTGCCTTTATTGAGGCCATAACGCCATTACCTGTATCCACCTGTTGTCTACTGTATTATGAGTAACTATAAATTTTATTGAATAAAGCTCAACTTCGATACCTAAATCGTAAGAAGTTGATTTACAACATTCAGTTTAGTGACTTTGCTATTTATGGTTAACTATAACCGAATAAACTATTACGGGTATAAACTTACGATATAATAGAGAGTTATCAAGTGAAAGAGTGAGAATACGGTAACGTTATTTTGACAGCGGAGCATGCGCAGTATTAAATGTGAATAACGTAAATGATTTTAACGTTTACGGGCTCCGTTACCGTACGTCGAATAACGGGTTTGATATACGGTAACGTTAGCAGCGAATCGCATCAATTCGTCAAGACTCGGAACTCGGAGATTAAAGTCTCTGTTCTGTAATTTTATTTCTGTTCATTAGTTAACATGTGTTTTCCGTCTTCTTGGTTAAGCATCTGCGAGAGAAATAAAACATTTTATTATATTTCATTATATTTATCAATTATAAACACAGAAGTAGTAAAAAAGACAAAAAAGACTGCGTTTTACAAGCACTGATAACCTTTTACTAGTAAAAGAAGTGCGAGGAGTCAACCCTCTGGAATGCCCTGTTTTTCAAACCGAAAATATGAAAAATGTTTGGCTTGCTCAGGCTCTAAGCTATCAAAATTGAACACAGAATGTACATTTTGTATGTTATTATTTAAAATATGATTTTATGTTGATGTTTACAAGATGATTTAGTATTAAATCTTCTATAACTTTGTCATTTGCTTCAACTAATATTGCTTGTTCTAAAATGTCTTCCATATTTCTGTAGAAAAAAATTTGAAACGCAAAATGTAAAAAATAAGACAAAATATTACCTTGGATGAAAGAAAACATAAAAAAAATTAATTATTTTGCTGTCAAATACGACATTTGTCTGTGACAGCTGCCAACTAATAACGTGAAGCAGCAATTCCACCATTTGATAACTCTAAAATTACATATCCGTTAAAACTTTATACCGTAAAAAATAGCGTTTACGTGTCAAAATAACGGAAGGATAAAATTTTACTTGATAACTCTCTTATACGTATAAATTACGAACTATTTGTTTTATATTAATGTAGGTTATATTTATGATAAATTTTATGAATAGATTTGAGGTGATCACGTTCAAAAAAAATTTAGGCATAATTCTCAAGGCATAATAATAATTTATTTGACGAATATTGACAATTATAATATTCCTTGTTTTTTTTTTCTATTCTTGAGAATACTACATTATGCAGAATTATTTTTCAAAAAAAAGTTTTTTTTGTTGTATTCGATAATAAATTGTACAATCACTTCGTGCCATTTAACTGTGCAGTAAAAATTGTTATAATGCATTTTTTAACTACTATACTTCAATATAACTTTGTTGACGAACTATTTGCCTTTTATTTTTTGTTATGATATAAATTTATATTTTTGTGCAAGGTATTTCAGGCTTTCAGTCTTTCAGGCATTTTTATTGATTTATATTATTAATGATAATACCTTTTCTCTCACGGTTTACTTTATTCTCGCGTGATTATCTTTACTGTACCTTAAATTTCATGTTATCTTATTTTATATGTCTTAAGGTTTCCCTGTTCCTCTAAAAATAGGGTGGTGCCCAACTAATTCCCTTCTCTTATCTTCTAATTTCTCTTCTCTTATCTTCTAACTTCTTGTCTCTGTATCTTCAGTACTTCTCTAGCTGATTCTTTATATTTGAGCTGTAATAAGAGCCCTGACCAAGATACCTCTACCAGACTGAAGCCCGAACCTAGTACCTAGCGTTCTTTGTGTAACCTCTAATCTGTCATTAAAGAGGGTACAAGACTACTAAGGTACTAGTCGTACCAACGTTATCATATGTTGTGAGTTTTTCCTTGAAGACTATGGTATATAAGCTGAAAAGCCACTCAAGACTCAGGGAATTTTGATTACTATAAGTACGATTAACGTTATTAGGTGTCTGCTGCTGAGGGCACTTAACTAGTATACAAGTTCAAAAGCCGTTTATTTTAGTTTCAATTTTTTATATTTTCAGTTTATTTTCACGTTCTTAAGTTATATATATTTTTTAAAGAAGTTTCTATTATTACCTTAGTATTCCATTAATGGTAACTACATATTTATAAGCTACATAGTAACGGTAATTAATACGTTAAAGTCTAGTGAATGTTTTTTTTTTGTGTTTTGGCTTGGACAATTGTCATTCAGCCAGTCTTAATCAAGATAGGTTTATTAATGTAGTGTGTGTGTGTAGAGTAATTGTCTTGATACTTAGCAAAGTCGACGTCATTGTCTTTGCTAAGAGACGCTAATTGTATCCGAACGTCTGCGGTCCCTCCGGTGAGTACCGATCGCACAAGGATAGAAATTATTTTCATTCATTAATTTTTTTAATAAAAGAAAATTTCTCCACCCAGGTGAGATTCGAACTCACGACCTTTAGGTTTAAAGGTAGGCGCTCTTACATTTAGCCACAGAGGGGGTTATTAGTGAATGTTATAACCTCTAATTAATTTGACAAATCTTAATCCTCAGATCAAAGACACACTATCTCTACCTATTACTAAGTGTTTACTAAATACTCTATTACATAAATTATCATAATCGCAATGATAAACTATAAACTTTCAAAAAGAAAATAAAATAGAAGAAATATGGCTGTGTTTGAAAAGGCTAAAGATGCTAGGAAAATACAGAAGAACTGGAATTGAAAAACTGTTAGTCATATTATAATAAATATCAGCTAAAACTAAAATAATGTACTATTTTTGACATCTATCAATTAAAATTTAAATACAAATTTCAGTGTAATGAATTTTTCAGCAAAAACATTATTTAAAAAATCCCTTAGTGTTACAAAATTTACCATACGAAAATGTTCTACAGTTCCTCCTCCCAAAGAACCCGTTGTTACTGTTCTAAACGCTGCCAGTGAAGTTGGACAAAGACTTGCGTTCTTACTGAAACAGAACTTTTACATTGGAGAGTTACGACTGTATGATAAAAATAAGAGCATTTGCAATATCGCCGAAGATTTGAGTCACATCGACACTAAAACAAAAATAAGGTCATTTGTTGGAGTGAATGTCTTACGGCAGGCAGTTACAGTAAGTTTTTAGTTCAACTATATAATAATGCCGCATTTGTTAGGTTCTGGTTTTCTTTATTCACTCAGTTGGAGCGTTTTTGAAACGTCCGTTAGTAAGCGGCTTCTATACCGCAATTGATATCTATCTACAGACGTTTATTCGTCCAGTAATGTATACAGGCCCCCCTGTTTTCATGTTCCTCTTTCCTAGACTATGCTCGTTCATCTTGTTCCTAGATGTTCTCTAATAGCATCTGCTTATTTTGTCTGATTCCTTCCTCTTTCACGTTTGTATTCCCATGGTCTCCGGAGAATTATTTGTCCATACCATGTACAATCTTTTTATCTACTGTTGTTGCCCACAAATTTCCGTTGCATTCCAAAGTGTAGTTATTGTTTATATAACAACTTTTACTTTAATCCTATTTCTGATTCAATCATTGCTCTTCTTGTATTTTAGTTTTGTGTGGAGCATCAAGAGAGGCCCTGGACGTCGACCTATATCCTGGCTGGCCAATCTTAGGAAATTGACTGGTCTTCCGTCAACTGATCTATTTCAAGCTGTAATGAATAGAATAAGATGGGTCAATGTGGTCGCCAACATCACTAGAAGATAGGCACCATTAGAAGAAATTGAGCATCTGCCTTTCCATGGCTTTTCTATTTTAGCCATTTTTTCCATGTTCTGTTACGGCAGCGTCCATGTTTGTGTTCGTTATGTTAACACTGTTAGAACATATTGGTCAAATATTTTAGTCCGGTGATTTGCAGTTTTACAAAATATATTAGTCAAATTCGGGTCTTCATTTCAGTGGTTTGATTTTCTCTGTTCAATTTGACCATCTGCCCCAGATATACGTTTTCTGCAACTTTCCCTATTGTTTCTTCTTCCATTTTAATTTCTTAGTCTTCCGCTGCATTATTCATAATTTTTGTGTTATAGTTCATTTTCAGTCCTATTTTCCTTTCTTTATCATATGTGTATATCTTCAAGATCTTCGGCATTTTCTACAATGAGTACAATATCATCTGCATATCGTAAGTGGTTTAAACACAATTAATATATCGGTTGTAAATTAAAAAAAAAAAAAATATATATATATATATATATATATATATATATATATATATATATATATATAACTTTTGGTATACCTACAGAAAAGAAAATACATTTTAAATATAACCTTAATTAATTTATTCATATCTTTTAATTAATTTCTTAATCAGTTGATCTATTTAATTTGTAGCGAAGGATCCTCTGCTTTGCAACCATTTTGTAATGGATTGTCGGTGTTTGGTTATAGCTAGCCTCAATAAAGACCAGCTATTCTTATATTAGAAATAAAAAAGCCAATTTGAAGTAGTAAAACTCTGAAGATGAAAATCTAGTGGACTGTACTTGAAGCAGAGCTCCAGCAAGAGGCCTTCCAGAGTATAGACGACTATATGAGGTAGACCGTAAAGGAGTGATTTCCCTGACCTAAAAATCCCAAATATTTCGAGAAAAAGGATTTCGAGGTGGAGCGATACGCATCAGTATGCTCACTAGTCCGCCACTGAAACACTAGATAACAGTAGCAAGAGCTGGTGTAACGTTTTCCCTCTTCTTTAAGAGATTTTTCCTCCTAAAACCTTGTCGAACATGGAGCTGGATGTTGGCATAGGCAACTAGATCCTCTTTTGCAACTCCAAGTTGTATAAAAATGACAAGGGACGGTTTTCGCCCCTCACCGGTAACCATGCGGATTGCAACAGACTAGTATCTGGACTTCGGTGTCTAAAGATTTTTTCTACCATATTTATGACCTTCCAATCCAATTGACGGCATTTTAGCTTTGGTATGGCCAATTTTTGAAAGTGTCTCTCTGAGAGACCGAATTCCAAACGAATAAACACGTCGTAGAGCGAAAATTACAGACGCCATCGAAAAAATGGAATTGGGCAGGACACGTCGCCAGATTATCAGACAACCGATGGACAAAACTTATTGTCGGGTGGAGACCAAGACGAGAAGCAATACAGGGTAGAGGACGTCCACCAACTAGATCGACTGACGACCTGAAGCATGTTTACAATAACTGGATGCAAGCCACACAAGACAGAGACAGATAGTAAGAGCTGAAGCAGATCTATGTTCAGCAGTGGACGCATACAGGTAGATGATGATGATGATGGCCAATTTTTGCACATTAGACTCCAGCAAGTACTCACTCAATTGAAGTATCGTTTCCCATACATCTTGGTAGGTGGGCAGTGTTTTTTGTTACCAGATAAAAGGGTAACGTCATCCATATTGGAATTTCAAAGCTTTTTTGGGAGCTGGTAGTTAGCATTGAAGTTCTGCAACTCGACCAAACTTTCTTCAAAAGGTGGATGCCAATCATTGTGCATCTTTAATACTAGCTGGAATGTCATGGGCTAGTGAGAAGTCATCTGGAAGTGCGAGTATATCTTGCTTTTCTTCAATGGTGACACCATGTCTTGCTTTACTATTACCTCCATACGCCCCCTTGAATTACTGAAACGATTGGTGATGTACCTCTTGGACTTTGTTTACTTTTACTTCTCCATCTACGTTGTGGTCTCCTTCGAATGGCGTCAGCTAGTTATGATGTCCTCTCTTCGGTTTCCTCTCGGAATGTTGCTTATTCGGTGGATGGCCCAGAAATGCTGCAACTTGTGAGAACAGCTCTTTCGCGTCTTTGGATTATAGAGCCAGACTTTTGCCACTCTTATTAAAACATCTCTTTACTCGTATATATCGTCCATTCTTCTTCGTAATTCGTTCATATAGTCTTCACTAGCTACATCTTCTCCAGGTCGACACCCAAACTCTAGATCATAAGGTAGGCGCATCTCGCGTTCAAATAGGACTTTTGCTGATATAGGTCATTGCCATGCCTATATATATATATATATATATATATATATATAGGAGGAAAAGGTACTCAAATATGCTGTAATTCTTGTTTTCTTCATGCCTAGTCTATCGCAGATTCCCTAGAATACATCGCTCTCGGAGTTTCTTCCTTGGCCACTATATGGATTTTCAAAGACACGCCAAACCGGCTGATGTACTCCTTGATCAACACACCTGCGATAGTGGTAGCCTTCCCGAAGCCCAAGATGGAACCGAAGTTCCATCTGGGGCGTGGGAACGATCTTATAATCGGAATGCTGATACCGATCTTGATTAGGACGGGGCGATGTTGACTTTGTGGAAAGTCAGGCATAACCCTTCGTGATGCTGCTAACGGTTGGCCTTTGTTATCAATGGTAACAAAACAGAGATCAGGGTTATATTCTCTCCTCCAGGCCGCAGATCTGAAAGCGCCTCTATCTTTGGCGTCGAATAGAAGGTGGGCACCATGTTCCTCTGCCCATTTCACAATGGATGTGCCATTTCTGTCAGTGTCTGAGTCTTTCTACATCTCATGGTGGCTGTTGAAGTCCCCTACGTATATGGCTGGGTGTTCATAGGGATTAAGAACTTGGACAGTCTAGGTAATAGCAGGACGTTTGTATATGTTAGCTATTATGACATTGCCTATTTTCACAGTTACCTCGTGGATGTTGTTCTCGGTAGAAGTGGCAATTAATGCTGCATTTTCTATGTTTAAACGGACATATGTTGCCACTCCGTAAGCTCTATCGTAGGTAGCGCCCAAAAGATCATAGCCGGGGATTTTTCCTCTTGAGCTTAGTTGACCTTCGTTTTCTGTGTGCGTTTCCTGAAGTGTTACCAGATCAACTTCGTTGTGTTTTAAAAGTCTGTGCAGGATTTGACATTTTGCCCTGCTTATGCCTTCTATGTTAAAGTGGCAAACTCGTATGCTTGGTCCGAGTTCTTTGGTCAAATGGTCCTGATAAGATCCGTTTACAAGTGTCATTTCCGGAAAGATTTTCTGTGATATTTGAATTGCCAGGAGATTCAAGATTGTCTGGCGCATTTTGTGCTAGTTCATTTAGCGTTACCCAGGGTGCACGTGTAGTATTCTACTACGGACGCGAACTAGCTTTACACCACCATCTATAACTGTCGTCTTCAGGAAAGCATTAATCTGTTTTCATTTGCTCATTGCTTGTAGTAACGAGAGTGATTTGCTATTTTCTTATTTCCTCTTTCGATCTGTTTTTGTAGTCATTTTTAGAGAATAGCTCTGGTGCTCTGAGAAACCGAACGGTCACGACACTTTCCCTTCGAAATCATCTGCAAGAAGTGCGAAATGTAAACATAAATGTGTGGACGGTTATGGCAAACTAACCCCGCTTGTCAGAGGTGACGTGAGAGAAACGTTCAAACGTGAATAACAGAACTATTTCACTTTCTAAATCCGGATCATTTATAGTATACGCAGATATACCTTTTGACGCTCACTTGGAGTTACTCTGCATGGATGTTAACTGCTCATAGTCACCTGGCAGAGCTTCAAGCTTCACCGTTCATGGTTGCACGAACACGCACTGCTCGGATAATTGCAGAGTATCTTGACGAGGTTCAGATTACGCGATTTGTTTGACCTGCTCGCAGTCCAGATTTAAATCTGATTGAACATATTTTTGTTGAGATTTGGAAACGTTTACACAGACATGTACTAATGCGCAGGAATTCCAGAGAACTTTGTGACATAGTGTTGCAGGATTGTGACAATTTACCACAAAATATTATCCAAAGCAACGCTCGTTATTTGACAGCTGTCGTCACTGTCAGAGGAGGAAAAACTAGCAATTGAATCCCTAAAACTTATTTTGCATTTGTTTATTTTTATTACTTTCAATAAACTTTCTCGGTAAATTTCTTTAAAGTATCTAAGATTCTAGATGTGCTTTATAAATTTATAATTGTGATTACTGTTAAAACTATATACTTGTGATAATAACATGTTTCTTAGGGAGCCGATATAGTGGTAACTGTAGGAGGAGATCAAGTATCAACTAAAGAAACTTTTGAGGAAATTTTCAATAGAAATGTTAACGACGTACGAATAACAGCACTGCATTTGACGGAATTTAATCCTAAAGGAATATTTTGTGTTGCCAGACCACCGGTTGAAGCATTGGTACCATTAGTATCAGAGGTAATAACAATTAATGTAACATAACTTAGTATCCGAAAGTAGCAATCATTCTTTTCTCTAAGATATTTTATTGGATTAAGACATCAATATTTTTGCATTGATTCGTAGGTCACGTTCCCTAATTATATTTTTCCACACCTTTCTAATTTGATTTTTGTGACTGGACTTTCCATTTAATTATTCACATATCTGCAATATAAATTGTTATTCTTCGTTATTATAGTCCATTTCCATCATATTGATAGCACATTATGTATGCAAATCCCTAAACTGTTGATACGGGTGACTCAATGAAAAATAGATATTTCTCAACAAGTTTACAGAAATATATAGGAAAACAATTTTAAATTGAGTATGACCACCAGGTGTAAAGGTTGAAGCAGAATAGAATACAATAGTTTTGAGGGTTACTAATCCCTAAATAAAGTTGCCCGTGTGGGAGTGATGGAGATTAACAGGTACTAATGAATTTGCAAGAAATGTAAGATGTTTATTTTATTGGTTATATATAAAATAATTTGTGGCCGTAACAGGGGCCGATTTGTAAAAAAATGAATATTATTTTAATCAAATTCTATTTCAGATTCACTGCTTTCTTCAGAATCTAAGGAATCTTCAACTCCAATGTTAATTATTACCGGTTCCAGCATTGCATCAGTCATATTATCCAAATTCCACATTTTATTTTCTTCCTTGTGAGCATGACTAACAGCATTTTTCCAATTTTCTGGAGTTACTTTTGATAAGGAATGTTCTAATAATTGTTGTAAGTCTTCTGATTTAAAAGTTTTGTTGTTGCGTCCGACTTCACCCTTTACTTGAGACCATATATTTTCTATCGGATTCAGATCACAGTGGTATGGGAGTAAACGTAAAATAATTACATCACGGTTTAATGCCATTTTATCAATTATATATTTTTTATAAGCTGCTTTATGTTGCCTTAAAATAGGTAATAATTCCTTTTTTGTCGAATTCTCCTTGTACTCAATTGTGTGTTTATCCAACCATTCGATTATCTCTCCTTTTTTCCATGCCGTTGTTGGCAATTTTTCTGCTAGTCTTGAATGGTAACTAGCATTATCCATGACTATGACGGAATTTTTTGGAACTAAATCCAACATTTGCTCAAAATATTCTTCAAAAACGTCAGCAGTCATTTCCTCGTGGTAATCTTTGGTTGATTTTGAGGCAAAAATTAATAATCCACCATTGACAAAACCGTATTCGTTTCCAATATGGGTTATTATGAGTCTGCGTCCTTTTCCAACGGGAATATTGTTTATTCCAGTAGATACACCTTCGATGAATACCTGACGGGAACTTTTCACATTTGTGTCAACCCATAGATATGATACAGTATGACCTTCATTTAGCCAAGTCTCGTCCAACTAAAAAATTGTTTTCTCTTCTTCTCTGTACTTTTTAATAGTTCTTAGATAATCTCGTCTCCAACATACAATGTAATCTTTTTCAATTAAAACAGATTTTCTTCTATTCTTTTGCCAACGAAATCCTATCTCTCTCAATAGTCCCCATAATTTCTTGTTGCTTATGATTGGTAACTCTTAGTTTTCTCTAATTAATGTTTGGATTTTGTCCACTGTTGGAAATTCTTTGTTAAAAAAAAAAATGAGTGGACGCTGCGTCTTATCATGTTTTTATGATATCATATATCTTCAATTTCCAAGGGTTTACTCCCTCCACTCTTCTTGGGAGATGAAACAGTTCCTCCTTTTCTCTCTTTTAGGAATCTATAAATTGTTGCTTCTCCAACCCCTGTCATATTTGAACACATGTTAACGATTTCACGAACATTACTTAAAGGGCATTGATGTACAAGTGCATCGTGTACATTTAATATTATATTTTTCTCTCTTAGACTGAAGGCACCTTTAAAACTACACTTAACCGGGATAAAACCTGTTGTCAACGTCAGTTTTAAATGCAAATAACAAAATATCGACACCAAAAACGTAGGTAGGTAAGACATGAACAATGTACATCTACAAACTAAATGGAAGATGCAAACAATTTCTAATTTATATTATTGGCATAAGCTGTAATGTGGCATAAAAACTACTTAAACTATCATTAGTGAAGCCTTATCAGTAATTCCAGGTAATCGTTCAAAGAAGGTATTCTTTTTGTGTCAGGCGATAACTTGTATAGAAAACAATAATCACCTTTAAATTACTGTTTACATTAATTTATTTCGTGAAACATTGAATTCTCTCGTTAATCACTCGTGTATAATTAACAATAATCGTGTGACATATATACCGACGTTTTTTACGCACAAAAAAGTTATAGTGAGATTAGTGGACACTTATTTTACAGAAGATTTTTTAAAAGATAATGAATTGTTGACGGCATCTTAAAATATTAATTTTTTTTATTTATTTCAAAACAAGTATAGGGTGACGTCTATGGTTTTTTGACCTGTTGAGGATTTGCATACATAATGTGCCATCAATATGATGGAAAAGTAGTATAACTGCATAACATTAAGTGCACTAGCTGGTCTTACTGAGATTTTATCAAATTTGCCTTTCATTGGGCCTTTCTGTCACACAACATATCATTTATATTTCTTGATTATACGAATTCTAGATACCTAAAACTAAATATTCTCAAAATCATTTTACTATTTACTGTAATACCAGTCGTAGTAATTTGATTTTTAAGTCAACGTTCTATATATTGTATTTTGTCCTAAAAAAGCATTAAGAGCTGTCTCCCACTATTGGAGTTTTAGCTCTAGTCCTCTTTCAGTATTTTCTGCTAACACCTTAGCAGCAAATACTAAACATCAAGAGATGTTACCTTGGAATTTAGCTGTTACCTATTTTATACAACACTAATGACAATGGATAAGCAGTAATCTTACATGGAATGTAATCTTACTTTCAAATTAAATTTGTCATTTTTTCCTACTCCTGTTCTGGCACTAGTCATGACTTCATGATGCTCATATTCATCAGGGCCTTCTTTCTTTTCAATATCCATAACAGAAGCTCTCGATATATTTTATTATAACAATGTTTAATTCCACGAGGAAACTAAGTTCCTGTAGCTGTTTGTTTCCTGTAAACAAACAATGTTTGTTTTTTTCATTCCTTTTTTCTTCATATCTTTTTAGAATTGTCCAAAAAATAATATTATAAATTCAATTTTTTTATTTACATAGGAATTTAAAAAAGCAGGAGTATATGACTGGAAAAAAATTTTTGGTGTCACAACTATAGCTTCCATGCGATCGAACAGTATTATAGCAGCGAAAACAAAGCACAAGCCCTTAAATATGGTATGTCCAATAGCAGGAGGCTTGAGTAATGAATGTTTTGTACCCGTCGTATCCCAAGTTAGACCCCAAATTGCTGTAGTATGTATCTCTTATACTTATAATACGTATATTTCAGTTTTTCGGTAATTTATTTTGTTTCTTTTTCGGTTTAAGAATGTATACTAAATTTTCAACTTTAGGAATTTTTCTGCAAGACTGAAGAAATGTGGTAAATGTATCACAGCAGCAAAATTGCTTCGAACCTTATAGGCCAACTAAACGGTTAATCCAAAGGTGAGCAAAGCGCATTCGAACGTTACTCCCAACCAGCTAAATACTTCTGAATGGCAAACCTAACACCATATGCAAAAAACATGTACCAACTGCTCCAAAATCCTGAGAAAAAATACTTTGACATACCTTTCACCATGAAAGAATTCAACAAAGAACTTAATTGACTCAAAAATGGGAAAGTCGTAGGAGTAAATGATATATTGTTAATTTTGGTACTGTAGCAAAAGCTGGATTCTCCGCTTATTTCATAACTGTCGAACAAAATTCCAAATCTCTTTTGCTTCTCTGTCACCTATATAAGCTGTGTGAAAGACTTATCCTACACCGCATATTAAAAACGGTTGACTCAAAACCCATCCAAAACAAGCTAGTTTCACACCTAGGAGGATCTTTAGCCATATTCTAGCTCTGACGAAAAACATCAAGAACGGATTTAAAGAAAAAAAGTTTTTTGTAGACTTCAGTGCCGCGTACGACACCGTGCTGAGAAACCTACTGCCGAAGGTTTATGTCGCTCTTATGGACTACCAACTCCACAAAATAGTGGAACCACTACTGCGAAATAGACGATTCTACATAAGTCTTAAGAAGAGAAAAACTCGCTGGCGAATCCAAACAGCCTACCTATAATTTTCAACCTGTACACCAATGATCAGCCATCGCCAGGTTTTACTAAAAACTTCATATACGCAGACGACTTGGGCGTCATTGCCCAAAGTTCAAGCTTGGAAACAAAAATTTGAAGTTGTCCTGAATTTGATATCTATCTGCTTGTTCTATCGCGTCTACTGTCTTTGTTCTGGTTCTTATCCACTGGTTATGTTTTCTATCTTTAAGTGATATACCCAAAATGTGTCTCTCCATCGCTCTTTGTGCCTTCCTTATCCTATCCAAATTGGCCTGTGTAAATGTCCATGTCTGTGCTCCGTAGGTGAGCACCGGTATTATACAGGAGTTATATACCTTGCTTCGTAAGTATAGAGGGATTGTTTGATTTTTTAGAACGTAAGAAAGTTTGCCGAACGCTGCCCATCACATTCTTACTCGTCTCGATATTTCGGCTGTTTGATTTTCTCTGTTAGCTCTGATTGCTTGTCCTAGATAGATATTCTCATTTACCTGTTCTATTTTTTCTGTTTATATTTTTATTGCCTCTTGGTCTTCCGTGTGTGTCATTACTTTTGTTTTGTTGAAGTTAATTTTTAGGCCTTTTTGCAGTGATTTTTCATGAAGTTCATTCAGCATTAATTCTAGTTCTTGTCGTTCCGAGGAGATCAGGAGTATATCATCCACATATCTAAGGTGATTTAGGTACTTTCCGTTAATACATATTCCTCTGTTTTCCCAATCTGTTCATTTTATTATATCTTCGAGGATCAAGATAAATAGTTTAGGTAAAATTATATCGCCTTGTCGGACTCCTCGTTTAACTTTTATATTATCCGTTATTAATTTTTCGTCCAGAATTACGGTCATGGTTGCGTTTTGGTAAATATAATGTATCAATTGTCGGTATCTTGAATCTATGCTACTATTGACCAGAGCTTCTTCCACCGCCCAGTGTTCAATGCTGTCGAAAGCCTTTTCATAATCTACGAATGCTAAGTACAGTGGAAGGTTGTATTCATTGGTTTTCTCAATTAAGATTTTAAGCGCATTTAGATGGTCGATTGTGCTGTATCCTTTCTTGAATCCGGCCTGTTTCACTGGTTGGTAGTTATCAAGTTTATAGGTTAGTCGGTTGTTTATTATTCTTGTGAAGGTTTTATATAGTTGTGACAAAAGGGAAATAGGACGGTAGTTGTTTAGGTATGTTCGGTATCCTTTCTTATGTATTAAGATTGTGTTGGCATTTCTCCACATTGAGCAGCTGGTTATGAAGGGTAAAATCGAAGGAATAAGGGATATTAGTAGAAGACAAATACCCTGGCTAAAAAACATTCGCTACTGGACCGCTTTAAACACACAGACGCTTTTAAGAAAAGCAGAATATAGAGACGAATTTGCAATGGTTATAGCCAACATTAGTGGAGTCAGTACTAGAAGAAGAAGGAGAAGAATGAGCAATAAACAACGATAAAACCTGTAGCAATCATACTACAAGGTAAGGTGAGTAGTAAGGCTCAGTACAAAATTTATTTCACCCTGTACAAATTTAACCAAAAGAAGAGAAGATCGAAAGGTAAGCGATAAGTTTTGCACTCGACATACAGGGTGACCTATTAGAGGGAGAGAAGAAGAAATTTAGACGTAAGCGATGAGTTCTTACGACCCTCTGGTCATTGACGATAACTTCTTGCAGTTCCTCAGCTATCCTCTGCTCATTGTCGATCACTTCTTCAGGACAGGTAATTACACACTGGTGAGACAGGTAAGGCGACAAAGAGACAGGTGAGGCAAGTAAGGTGACAATTCTTCGGCAGAGAAGAAGAGATCTAGAGATAAGCGACCAGTTTTTACGACCGTCTGGTCATTGTCAATCATTTCTTCTTACAACCCTCTGGTCATTGTCGATCACTTCTTGTACTGTTGTACCAGCACTTCACATCGGAGACCCTGATAGACAGGTTACCAAAGTGGGTTTGAACTCCGTCTGCTCTACTACTATGGTGTACGTAATAAGAAGCCCAGAAAGAATGACATACAGAATCTACGAAAATTGCTTAACTTAATTACTACAAGACATTTTGGGGCAGTAGTCAATGAAGTTAGAATAGCCGCCTTAATAAGCATTAGAAGAAGGAGAACCTTCTAAATCCAAGTTTTGAAAATTCTGGTTCGAACTTCACTGAACACGCGATTTTATCATTTCGGATTATTAGATTTTATCTTCTTTTATACTTACTAATATATAAAAATGTATTTAATTACTATAATATTCGTTTAATACTAAAATATCTTCTTTAGAATGGAAGAGACATTCGGCAACAAATTTTGAATAGCGAACACGACATTTTAAAATTATATTGTGAAGAAAAGGTTGTATGCCTTACGCCTGCTTTAGCGATATCACGTTTCATTAATACGTTGTTGAAAACCTTAAAAGGTCAAACGAACTGTGCCGAATGTGCTTTTGTAAGGCAAATGGGTCACATAGGAAATTTTTTGCCTTATATGACGTCAATAGTGAGATTGAGTAAGTACTCTTTAAACTTAGTTCATAACCTTCATGAATATTATGCAGTTAAAAATATACTTGTTGGGAAAAAGTTTTTATATTTAATGCAAATTTTCTTTTAATTATTAGATCTTTCATTTCTTTATTTAATAAACATTATAACCAAATGTATTCTACTCTGTGTTTTGTAACCTCTTCTAAAACTCTTCTAAATAAAACCTACACTTTTATTAATAAATGAAAACAAAGTTGGGTAGTAGTAAAGAAATGTATTGTCTTTAATACTATATTTCAATTATATCAAAAAACTAAACAGAAACTAAATACATAATACTTTTTTATTGACGTTGCGAATGGCGATATTAGGATTAAAGCTCTCCTATTATTGCCACCCATGTCAATATTAGGCAATGCAGAACTACAGTTAAAAGTAACACCTTTTTCTGAACATAAAGGCAATTAAGTAGTATAAACTTAATAAACACTTCTGAAAAATTTAAGAACATTGAGGGCAAGTAAACTTTTCTTTGTAATCTTTAGTCAGTCCTACACAGGCCTCATGAATATATCGATAGCACACTATGCACAAGCGTATATCCCCTTTACTGCAGATGTTACATAGGAAACAACACCATGATTCTTGTTTCCTTGATTTCTTTGTCGTACTGCTCGTTACTTTTTTGACAGCTTTGGATTATTCAATTTTGGTATTGGGGCGAACAAATATTTGGTAACTTGCTAGGCTTTTCTGTTTAAAGCTAGCTTTCTCTTAACGGTGGGTAGTTGAACAACTTTGTGCGGAATTTAGGCCTCTTTCTAGTTTACTTATTTAACACTTGGTATATTCACAAAAAACTGGTTTTCAAATTTTTATTCACAGGTTACGCCCCCTAGCGGCTGACCCAGAAACTTGAAAGTTATTTCCAGCGATTTCTCTTGACCACTTTTACTAATGAATTTTTTCTCCTAAAGTTATAACATGAATAGTTTCTGATATATAGCCGAGAGATCGGCTTATTGAACCACCCGGTATATTTGCCGGATATTTTCCGTTTTTAATATATATATATATATATATATATATATATATATATATATATATATATATATATATATAATCGAAAACCTCTCTACCCTAAGGTGTGAGGTAAATACAATACAATACAATTACAGGTTACAGATATACATTACATCTCAAATCCAATGAAAATATTTATTCTATTAAATTTATTCTATTCTGTGCACGAATTTTGTCCATTCTTTCTTGTTTTTTGCCTTATTTTGAGCTTCTGACCATTCCAATCCCCTACTTTTCAAAATCTGCCCTACTTCGTCATCCCAGGTTTTCCGTGGTCTGCCTCTAATTTTAAACCTTTTCACTTTAGCCTTCCAGACTTGCTTAACGGGTCGGTTGTCGCTCATTCTGCACAAATGACCAAACCATTTTATTTGTTGTGTTTCAATAGCATGTAGTACTGATTCTGTGCCCAGTTCTTCTCTAACATCTTCATTTCTTATTTTGTCTCGTCGTGTTATTCCTTTGACTCGTCTTAGATATTTCATATCAATGGCTTGTATCTTGCTTTTTAATTGCTTTGTTAAAACCCAGCTCTCGCTTCCATATATCAAGATTGGTCGGAATACTGTCTTATAAACTGTCATTTTGGTTCTTCTGCTGATTTCCGGTTTACCTATGAATGCTCTACTAAGATTATGGTACACTTTTGAAGCACTACTGATTCTTTCTGTTATTTCATTCTGCATGGTACCTTCTCTGTCTATTGTAACCCCTAGGTATTTGAATGCATCTACTTGTTCTATGAGTTGTTGGTTAATTTCTATGTTAACATTTCGGTTAGTTTTCGCTATTAGCATCACCTTGGTTTTCTTAACATTAATCTTCATGTTTCTGATTGCCAGCTCATTATTCCAGGTATCTATATTTTTCTGGAGGTCCCTTTCGTTGGAAGCACATAACATGAGATCATCTGCGAATGCACACTCAGCTATACCAACCGGTCGTAGTTTACTATATCCGATATGTACTTTGTGTATACTTGCTTTTGTTTCCTTAATTATGTCGTCAATAATCAATATGAATAGTGTGGGGCTCATAACACCTCCTTGTCTTAGACCCTCGTTTATTGCAAACATCTCTGATTCCAACTTATCCTTACGTACATAACTCTTGTTATTTTGATACAGACTTTTGATAGCACCTGTTAGTTGATGGTCAATATTTCTATTTTGCAGACTTTTCCAGACTGCTTCCTGGGACACTCTGTCAAACGCTTTCTCAATATCTAGAAAAGCCATATATATTTCTGTGTTCTTTATTCTAGCCTTCTCAATTATTTGTTTTAACGTAAATATATGGTCTTGCGTACTGTGTCCCTTCCTAAACCCACTTTGTACTTCATCCAGATGTGGTTCAACGATGTGTCTTAATTTCTTTTCTAGGATGCTTTCATATATTTTGGAGACGATACTAAGTAGATTAATTCCTCTATAAGTTTCACAAGAACTTGGGTCTCCTTTCTTAAAGATTGGTAGTATTATGCCAATTCTCCAATCTTCGGGGACTGTACATCGGTTCCAAGCCATGTTCATAATTTTGGTTAAAAATTCAACTCCTTTCGGTCCCATTGTCTTTAACATTTCTGCAGTGATTTTGTCATGACCAGCCGATTTACCTCTCTTTGTGTTGTTAATTGCTTCTTTAACTTCTTCTATTTGAATATAATTTTCTTGCCCATGTTCTCCTTCTACTTCTATCATTACAGTTTCCTCTTTCGGCTGTCTTGGTGTTAGGAGTTCGCTGAAGTATTGTCTCCATCTTTCCATAATCTCATTTGGTCTGGTAATCAGTGCGCCGTCTTTACTTTTCACCTGTTTCATCGTTGTTTTATTACCTTTTCTTAGCGTCTTTAGTGCCTTGTAAAACAATTTTTGGTTACCCCGGCTATCTGCCTTCATCTTCATTCCAAACTCATCCCTGGCTTCCTTCTTCTTCTGCAGTACCATTTCTTTCACCACCTTTCTTTGTCGTTTATATTCTTCGTAACTACTTTCTGTTCTCTTGTTTAAATATATTTTCCATTTCTGTTTTTTATATTTTATTTGGGCTTTTAATTCATCGTCCCACCATCGTGTTTGCTTCTTATTTCTGTTTACATGGTTTATTCCACACGTTTCTTTTGCTGTCGTTGTTGATACAAAGAAAAATATAAATCTTTTGACATGCTTGAAATATTGTTCCATTGTTTTTCCCATATTTTATATACTCTAACTTTAACGTCATTTATTGCATCACTCGATAAAATCTGAGTTAGGATCTTACCCTTCGTTATTCCATCTTTTTCCAACAAGTCCACTTTCTCATTGCCTATTATACTTACTGGCATAATATCCTTTTGTTCTTATTAATACCACTTCCACTTTACACAAACTATTTTTTATATTACATAAAATTGTAGATTTGTATAAACTGAAATCTATGTTTTCAATTACATATATTGCAGATCTAGAGTCTGTTATTATCACAGCTTTTTTAATATTTTTTTCTTGAATCCATTGTAGAGTTTTTCGATGGCCATAATTTCGGCTGATAAGATGCTACTAACACTAGATTTGTAATTATTGTATTGAAAGGTATTTTGCACATACAGATTGAACCAAATTAAAACGGAACATACAATTTAATACATGTCTGTTTGAACTGCATTTGAAATAGTGGACCAATATAAAACTTGCACAAAAATAAATCCATACCTGGGTATAGACATTGTATAAAATATCGTTCAACTATCTGTCTCGCAACAAAGTTGTTTGCGTAAGACGGGTTTGTCTAAGAGAGCGATAATAGTTCAGGAAATGAAGCTCGAAAAAAGTTAAAACCTCGCAATTTTTTCGTCCTGCATGTATCCAGTTGAAATATTAGCAGAAGGTAGGTGATAGCCCAAGGATCAAAATCTATATCGAACCGAAGTGCGCTGAAGGGTTTTAGGGGTGAAAACTACCCCTAACATATTAAACCTGAATATGGGTAAGATTTGGTTTGAATTAGTTAAATAATGATTATTTTATACTTTTGAATAGAGTTCCATCATATTTCAACCCTTAAAAAGCAACCCTTGTTAGAGATTAATGTAAAAAAATTACTAATTCTAAAAAAAATGATTTCGCCTTGGATCGATTTGGATAAAAATTTGGATTTAAGCTCAATTCACTCGCTGCTTTATAGTTTATGTCATGTCGACGAACCCTGATTGTTCTTAGGGGTGAAAACTACCCCTAATTGTCAAAAATTATAAAATAACATATTAAACCTGAATATAGGTAAAATTTGGTTTGAATTAATTAAATAATGATAGTTTCGTGCTTTTGAATAAAGTTCCATCATATTTCAACTCTTAAAAAGCGACCCTTATTAGAGATTAATATAAAAAAATTAGTAATGCGAAGAAAATGATTTCACCTTGGAACGATTTGCATAAAAATTTGGAATTAAGCTCAACTCACCCTCTGCTTTATAGTTTATGTCATGCCGATGAACTCTGATTGTTCAGGGTGAAAACTACCCCTAATTTTCAAAAATTGTAACATAATATTACAAATCTTAAGATGAGTGAAATTTGGTTTGGATTAGTTAAATAGTGATTTTTTTATACTTTAAAATACAAATTCATACATTTTCAACCCTTAAAAATCAATTGTTATGAGTGCTATAGGTGAAAACAATTTTGTGCCAAAATTTTGCAACTTTTCAACTTTTGAAAATCACCCTTTACAACATTGCAGTTTTTATAAACTAATTTATAAGATATAAATTGAAAAAAGTAGAATTAAATACAAAAAAATTTATCAACATAAAAAGGCACCATATATTCTTATACATTTACATAAATAGTTGAAAATATTTACATTTATAGGTAAAACAATTATAATATTAATTTTATTCGTCATCAATTACATCTTCATCGTGATCTATGTCATCCTCATCTTCTTCAATTATTGGTGGACTGTTATTGCACCCTTCACCTGAGCACCCAGAACAAGTAGAGTTACAGTATAAACCATTTTTTCTGCACCCACATGAAACGCCGCATCCTTTTTTGCATTGGCAAAAGATAATTTTCAAAAGTTCATCGGGTGCAGGTTGTTTGTTCATGCGTACGGGTAATAACAAACCATCTTTGGGATACCATCCCCAATCTGTTGCTCTGATATTTTCATTGCCAAGCCATAGACATATGAGCAGATGTTTTATTCTGTTGTATGGGATTTCAAAATAAGAACGCTTAAAATTTCGAATGTATAACGCTCCACTAGCTAATATACCGGTTTTGTAGATTATTATGCTCCGAAATGTACTGTACTATACTAATAGAATTTTCCGGAAAAAATTAACTGGTTTTTTAACGTATTTCCTTTAATTTTTAACGATAGAGTGTTTCTTCAAAAACGATTTGTAGAGGTTTTTAATAGCTACAAGGATCTGTGAATAAAATCGTTTTGGAACCCTTGGTTTTTAAATAGGGTGAGTTTAAAGGGCTCGAAAAAGATGGTGCTTGATCGTAAATCGATGTTTTAAACGGCTATATCTCGCCAAATATTCATTGTACAACAAATCTATATAAAGGATAATTTTAGTCATTAAAAAAGCTACAATTTGGTAATTTTATTTTTTTCATATATTCAGTATTTTCGGGCATATTTAAAAAAGAAGGGTAAAAAATATGAAATTGTAAATCGTTTCTCGCTTTAAGCTGTACTTTTTCTAAAACTAAGCATTTTAAATGGGTCAAACTTCTTGGACGTATTAACAATACATGTACAAAGGGAATTGCAGAAGATTGAAGATCGATTTTAAATATGGGTGTGGTTATGGGGTTGTTTTCCTCGATTTTTTCGTAAAAAATGGGGTATTGACCTTATTTTCATCATAACTCACTCAATTTTTGAGCTAGAGTCTTTTTTTATGATAGGTCTATTTATGCTCTTTAAAAAAGGTTTTGTGAGTTTTCTTCCAAAAATGAATCATTTTCCCGATATTTGATTTCAAATTTGGTATTTGAAGAAAACCGCTGAACATTGATAGGCCGTATTTCGGTTCCTATTATATCGCAAAAACATTTTAAAAAATGACTTGTATTTGTCATTTTAAAAGCTACAAATTTGTTTTCTACAATTTTTTTGATAAAATGCACCATTTTCGAGTTATTCGCGAAAAATCGATTAAAAACGTGGATTTTTTTCGTCTAAAAGTTGTTACTTTCAATCGCGAATAACTTGAAAAATATCATTTTATAAAAAAAATGTATAGCACATTTTTTGTTTAGAATTCATTTTTTTAATCGAAACCTGTAGTTAAAACGTAAAAAAAAAAATTCACCCCGGAGATGGGGTGGCAACTACCCCCTAGGTTTGGCGCACTTTGGTTCGATATAGATTTTGATCCTTAGGCTATTACTGTTAAATTCTTTAAACCTTCTGTTAAATTTCAAATCCACGCAGCACGAAAAAATTGCGAGGTCCAGGAAATTCATTTCCTGGACTATAACTGGTTTGACAGCATAATAAAATCGTAGATTTATGTGTAGCTTTCAATTTTTATGAGTTCAGAATCCAGCAGCCCGCTGAAGTATATGATTTTTATAATATAATTATTTGACAATCTTTTGTTGGCCAACCACCTACAGCAGAATTGAGCCGAAATACATTATATTCCTATGTTCCGAATTTATTTCGTTCAATCTGTAGATAGCACATCATATTCCTGCTTGATTTTTAGAACCATCTGTGTAAATTAAAACTCTAAACTCTCTCATAAATTAAAAACATTTTTTAGGTCGTCATGGAATTTTATCTAGCCACATGCCCAACGTAGATGGTGAAGAAAGTGTATTGCTTCAACAGATGGCGATACGCATAAAACAGTACATCAAATACGGAGAAAGCTTCGTAACTGGTGAACCGCAAACTGTGAAAGAAAAATTACCAAAACCAAAGGATATTCATATTAAGACCTATGCACAAAAATCGCCCACTACAGAAACTGTCAACGCTTCATAAATTCCAAATATTCCATTCTTTTGTTATTTGAATTTTTGTTATTTCTAGTAATTTGATTTAGTATCTAAATAAATTTTTCGACAAAATTCTTACACCTCAATTTTTTAAAAACATTCGCAGATTTACATGTTGTTCTCACCATGTAGAGCAGGGGTCACCAAATGGCGGACCGCGGTCCGCATCTGGACCAGTGGCGGTCTCAGAGGCAGATTTTGGGAGGGGCGATGGTCTGTTGCGGGGGGTCTGGGAGGTGCAGCTCCCCATCCGGAAAGTGGGTCCGGAAAATTTGTAAAAATATGGCAAGATTTTGAGAGTTTTAAAGGCATTTTATTCATTTGAATAGTTGATGGACCGAATATGGACTGACTGTCACTTAGTGGTTGTGACGAACGGAGAAAAAGGAAAATCACTCATTATTATTACAATTAGTATCAGTGGAAACAGTTTTACACTATAATAAAAAATAAAAAAGCTAGCCTCTAAAGCTTGTTGTAAATATTGTTCGGCTAACTTACAAATAAAATATTCAAAATATATTTTGTATTTTTGTGATTGTATCAAAAACCAATTTAGAACTATTGAAAACAACTCAAAGTCTCAGAAAAGGTTTGTGGGTGATAGTATTTTTCAATGGCAAGCCTCTGAAGCAAGTCTCATCTTTCTAAACCTTTGACGATTTAGGTGGTTTTACGTTATCACGAACAAACGTCAAACTTCAGAGGTTTAGTCTGACAATGTTAGTTTTACGCTTGAATTGAAAGAGCTCAAAACACATTTTACCTTTTAAAATGTTAAAATTTACAATAAATATACAATACAAATTAGTCTATTAGAATGGAAAAAAGGAGGTTCACATTATACATTGTAATAGTTTTATTAGGTAATAAGTAATAAAATATTGAATATGTAGCGTAGCAACTAGCAAGGCTAGCAAGCAACGTCTAACTGAAGAATATTGTCGACAAATTGTCGAGGTTTAAAATTGCAAATGGTTTTGACGCACGCGCTCCTGTGTCGGGACGACCGCTGAGAATTTCTAGGTAAACGCTTTTTTGGTACATTATATCAAAACTAACCGAGGGCTATTAAAATAATCTGTCTACGGACGTTTTCACACTATTAGATTATTTTGTCCAATAATAGCAATGCATTAGTTCGATCTCACACTTCTGATTAATATGTATATTAACTTCTCAATTTTTTAGAAAATTAGGGTTTCTGGGGGGGGGGGCGATCGCCCCCCCCCCCCTTGAGACCGCCACTGATCTGGACCGTGAGCTTGTTTTTTGCGGACCGCTGTTAAATTCAAAATATAGTAATAAAATTATAGTGTAAAATTATAATGAAATCTAAATATATAAATATCTTTACATTTTTAAAATGCACAGTACTAATACTATAGGTAAATACCTACTCGTAAATCTAAACAATATGTTTCGACTAAATGGATTTATAAAATTACACTAAGTACCTACCTAAAATGCTCACATACTTAAAAGCGCGGACGGAAAAATTTGTGATCACGAACAACAGTGCAAAGAATGGGAGAGATACATCACTGACCTTTTTGACGATGCTTCTAGGGAAAATGCTCCAAATACTGCCTATGACAACCAGTTGCGACAGTGGTCCCAATATACTGAATTCGGAAGTCGAAAAGGCAATACAGCAAGCCAAAAACAATAAAGCACCTGGACCAGATCAAATCCCTGCCGAACTACTTAAACTTTTGGATGAGGAACGCATTGCCTGCTTAACCACTTTCTTCAACAAAATTTACAACGAAGAAAAAATACCAGATGATTGGTTAGAGTCACTGTTTATAACATTACCAAAGAAAAGCAGGCCCACCAAATGCAGCGATTTTAGACTAATCAGTTTGATGAGTCACACACTGAAGATACTCTTACGAATTATACAAAACCGAGTATTCCTTCTATGCGAAAGTAAGATGGGTGATAAGCAATTTGGATTTAGAAACGGTCTAGGAACTAGAGAGGCACTATTCTGTATACGCGTTCTATTACAAAAAAGTTGTGAATTCCGAAAGAATGTTTATGTTTGTTTCATCGACTTCGAGAAGGCGTTCGACAGAGTCCAACACAATACACTTTTCGACTGCCTACGGGCAGCAGGACTTGACCACTATGATATAAGACTGCTGAAATACTTATATTACAATCAAGTAGCCTCTATCCAAATTGGAGACAGTCCCACTGAAAAAATACCCATCAAACGTGGAGTACGGCAGGGTTGTGTTTTGCCACCCACTCTTTTTAATCTGTACTCTGAAGAAATCTTTAGGGAGGCTTTGGATGACAGACAAGAGGGAGTAAGACTAGGTGGAGAAGTAATCAACAATATTAGATACGCTGACGATACAGCCATTCTTGCAGAAAGTTTACAAGATCTCCAAACATTACTAAATCTAGTCAGTGAAGCAAGTTATCGGAGAGGCCTAAAAATCAACATTTCAAAGACAAAGTGGATGGCAGTTGGAAAGATCCATATAGATCAAGGTCTGCTTTCTCTTAATGGAGAAGAGATAGAAAGGGTAAATCATTTCAAATACCTTGGCAGCTGGTTAAATGTAAATTGTGACTCTGATGAAGAGATAATATCCAGGATCGAAATATCACGTAAGGCTTTTATGACCTGGAAACCTGTCAATGAACATTCGTAAGAAGGTCCTGAAATGTTATGTGTGGTCGATCCTATTGTATGGTTGTGAGACATGGACGTTAAAAACCACAATGCTAAACAAGTTAGAAGCATTCGAAATGTGGTGCTATAGACGAATCCTAAAGATATCGTGGGTTTCGCACACTTCCAATGAAGATGTTCTTCAAATGATAAATTCAGAACGTCTGCTCATAAACACCATAAAGAGGAGAAAAACAGAATACTTCGGCCATATAATTAGAGGACCTTTACTTCGCCTTATAATACAAGGAAAAGTGGAAGGAAAGAGATGGATTGGTCGAAAGAAACTTTCATGGCTGCGTAATATTAGACAATGGTGTGGTTTCACAGTAGAAGAATTATTTCGCGCAGCAGCCGACAGAGAAAGGTTTCAGGAAATTGTAAAGATGATGACGGCCAACGTCTGAATACGGACACGGCACCCAAAGAAGAAGAAGACCTACCTAAAAATAATCTTTTAGCCAAACTACAACAGGGAAGCTGTCTGAACACTAAAATTATTTTATTTCCATATTTAGAGCAACTAGTCTATAATAAAACTAAAATGTTTTATCCAAACTTTCAGGCAATACAACCATAATATAATGAATTTCTTTTGTATTTCAAATTTTGAAATTCTTTTGTATTTCATAATAACATTATTTCAATTTGCATATTTCTGACATAGTAACCATTCTGTTGTGGTAGCGAGTAAGTACTCTTCCACAATCCCAGTGGAGGATAGACTTACTTCAGGGATGCGATCCTGCCCTACGCAAGCCTTGATTCTCTCTCAACTCCTGTGGAGAGAAATCATGTCTTAACCCCATTCCTACCCAATACCTTCTATCCTACCAATTTCCCAAACCACCTCACCAACCCGCCTGGCAAGCATGGTGTTTAAATGCCAAAACCCCCTAAGCATGAACAGACATTCAAGAAAACGGCCCTCAGTCCCCGGCAGCTCGCTCCCGACCAAGGTAGCGGTAGGACTCACGGACAACGGGTAGAGGGTGCGAAGAATCCCCGGGATATAAGAGGCTACCAAGAACGACGAATGTTGCACATAATTACGTATAATGTAAGAACCTTATCTAAGGATGAAAAAATGACAGAATTGGAGGAAGAACTCAAACATGTGAAATGGGATACTATAGGAATTAGCAAAGTCAAAAGAAGAGGTGAAGATCAGGTCAAACTAAAATACATATTCCACTATAAAGGGGAAGCGGAATCGACAACTGGAGGAATAGGTTTATTAGTACACAAAAAATTACAGAAAAATATACAGAGCATTGACTGCATTTCCCCAAGAGTTATGTATATAAATCTAAGACTAAATAAGAGATACAATTTGAAAATAATCCAGGTATACGCCCCCACCAGCGATTACGAAGATGAAATTGTCGAAGCCTTCTATGAGGAAATCGAAAGAGCAAAAAAACAGGAACCGGCTCATTACAATCTGATAATGGGAGATTTTAACGGGAAACTCGGAAGGAAAAAGGACGAACAAGAAGTGGCAATCGGAGATTTTGGAATAGGAGTAAGAAACGAAAGAGGCGAAATGCTTACTAACTTTCTACTGCAACACAAACTGTATGCAATTAACACCTTTTTTAAGAAGAAACAGAATAGAAAATAGACGTCGGCTAGTCCAGACGGAAGAACTAAGAGCGAATATGATTATATAATAACAGACAAAAAGCAAATTATTCAAGATGTCACTGTACTCAATAAACTATCAGTAGGAAGCGACCACAGACCAGTAAAATCTAGAGTAACGATAAATCTACAAAAAGAAAGAGCAAAGATGATAAACAGTTGCAAACGCATAGTTCGGAATTCAGCAAATCATCCAGAAGCATACATAAAAAATATATCCGAAACATTACAGAGTAATAATCCCAAACCTCTAAGTATCGACGATCACAATAAATTAGTAACAGACTCAGTTAGAAACGCACAACTCAAATTTTGCAAGAAAAATGACACCAAAAGTGAAGAGATTAGCAAAGATACAAAAGCTCTCATGGAAATACGACGAAACCTAAGCGAGAACGAAAAGGGAAACAAAGAAGAATATAAAAAACTAAATAAAAGAATTTCAGCGGAAATTAGAAAAGATGTAAGAAGATATAATACTAATGTAATTACTCAAATAGTAGAAGAGAACAAAGGTTTAAAGATAATGAAAAGAAAACTCACACAAAGTAAAAAAGAAATATACAAGCTGAGAGATAAAGATGGAAAGGCAACAACAGATAAACAAAACATTCTGAAAATAACCAGAGAGTTTTATAAAGACCTCTATACCAGCCAAAGACCACAAGACAATTTCCCGACACGAGTAAAGACTCTCATAAATCAGGGATCGGAAATACTTTTACCCATTACTGTGTCAGAAGTAACAGCAGCTTTAAAGGAAATGAAGAACCATCGATCGCCTGGTGATGATGGACTCGTTATCGAGGCAATAAAATCAGGAGGAGAAATTTTATTAAAATCAGTAAGCGAACTGTTTAATAAATGCTTACATGCGGGTACGATTCCAAAAGACTGGAACAATGCAGTAATAGTCTTGTTACACAAAAAGGCGATATTACTAAATTAGAAAATTATAGACCCATCAGCCTCTTGACACATATGTACAAACTCTTTATGAAAATCTTAACAAAGAGGCTAACACCTAAACTTGATTTCTATCAGCCAAAATAATAGGCAGGCTTCAGGGCAGGATATGGCACAAATGACCATTTGCATTCCATAAAGATCTTAATAGAAAAGTGCATCGAGTACAACATATCACTGGTTTGCATTTGTCGATTACGAGAAGGCTTTTGATTCTGTAGAGTTTGAAACAATACTGGAAGCCTTAAATCAAAGCCGAACAGATTACAGGTACACGACACTAATCAAAACATCTACGAGAACGCTACATCAAGTATACGACTACACGAAGACACAGAAAAATTCAGCTTAGGACCTGAAACCAGGCATCTAGGCCAGTAGACGTAACCAGGATGATCTCCTGGGGGGGGGGGGTTACAACTGGATGGTATATGGAACCCCCCCCCCCCCGGTTACGTGGCTTAGTGCTAAGTGTCCGGACCGCGAAAGTGTAGTAAGTTTTTTTTGAAACGGACGCTCAGGGAATATAATTGGTGACGCCTGATGTAGAGTATTAAAATCTTTATTATGATTCAATAAAAAAAAAACAAAAAAACACAACAAAAAAAAACAACAAAACAAAAAAAGAAAACAAAACAAAAAAAGACGAAAAAAAAAAAGAAACAAAAAAAAATATATCAAAATATAATTTATGTATAAATATTAGGTATATGTAGTACTAACATTGATAACAAGAAAATTTTGACTATGAATCTGCAATCACTAATAATAATAATAAATAAAATTTAATCGATTTTAACAATAAAAACAAACAAGTCTGGCTAATTGGCTCTGCCAAAGCCATATTACAAAAAGAAAAAAAAAAAAAAAAAAAAAAAAAAACCTAATATAAACTAAACTATCATAACCATGGCTCTAGAGCACTTCGTGGCCCTAGCCTGCTTGAGAACATCCTTACATTCGTCCCTACTAAATGCCTTTTCTTCTCCAACCTCTAATGGCAACTGTTTTGAGATCCTCTTCCACGTCGTTGAGATATCTTAGTCTAGATTTTCCTCTAGTTTTATTTCCTACTAGATTTTGGAACATTTTGACTGTGTATTGAACATGTATCAGCATGCTGCAGAGAATGTGCTGGTTGAATTTGATTACCAATATTTTCTGTTTGGACCTTTTTAAAACATTTTTGGTTGTTTATTATTACAAGCATATTTTTCCTTTGAATACTTACTTATCTGTTACATTTCTAACAAGTCTTCAATATTGTAATTATATTGATCAGTGAATACTACTACTATAGAAATACGCAATGGATAAATACACTCCGCGTCATAGAAAACGGGCCACCCCAAATATTTAAAATATTTTCGAAATTATTATTTATTGCTAAAAAATTAAGTATTTATTTTTTCGTATATTTAATCAATAACTCGTTTAGTTTAAAATTTCATCATTATCATAAAACATCAATCGAAAATAAAAAATTTATTGAAAAAATCAACTTACAGTTTTTAAAACAACAATGAACTGTATATTAAAAATAAAGCTGGTATCCATTTTCGGTAATGGCTATTGCCACCTCGATTCTGGATGACACTCCTCATTCGATTTGGCATGGAATTTATAACGTTTTGGATATCTCTTTGGGGAAAAGTGGCCCATTCCTTAATGAGTGCCATCTGGAGCTCTCCAGGTGTTGTTGGAGCAGGTATGCGACGCTTAACGCGACTTTTAAGCAGGCTCCATATATGCTCAATAGGATTTAAATCGGGGCTTTGAGCAGACCAGTCTATTTTTTGAATACCAACCTCGTCAAGGTACTCCGTTCCTATCCTTGCCGTGTGTGGTCTCGCATTATCCTACATTAGCAAGAATTCGTTGCCAATAAATCCAGCATAGGGCATCACATGATGTTGTAAGATTTCCGTTATGTACCTTACTGCTGTTAGCGCACCTCTGTCGATCACGACGAGATCCGTATGCGCATCAAAAGAAATCCCTGCCCAAAACATTACTGAACCACCATCAAAAGTAACCCGTGGTGCCCGAGTGCAACCAGCGAAACGTTCTCCAACTCGTCTGTACACCTTACTACGTCCGTATTTACCATAAATAGACATTCTACACTCATCCGTAAACAATACTTTTTTTCAAACGTCTGCTGTCCAATTGATGTGCTCACGGGCAAAATCTAGTCTTCGACTTTTGTGAGTTGGGGAAAGTAAGGGTCCCGTTGCTGGACTGCAAGCTGTCAAACCTTGCTCCCTTAATCTACGCCGAATAGTAGAAAGGCTGATTGCTGGTCCTTGAGCTTGCTGTAAATGGCCTTGAAGCATTCTAGCGGTTTGTGTCCGATTCCATAATGCAGCAAGAAGGACGACGCGATCTTCCCTAGCGGTTGTTTTCCTTTTTGGAGCCGTACCAGCTCGTCGTTGGTGAGATTTTGTGACAATAAATCGTTGCTGGGTCCTTTGTACAGTTGAACGACTAACATTCAATTGTCTTGCAACTTGTCTTTGACTTAATCCACTTCCCAGTAACGTTACAATTTCAACCGATTTTTGAAAATTTTCCATCATTATTAACTGAAGACTACTTCACAGTAAGTCGGCTACTGTAATACTGAGATGCGTTTAAAACTCATTAGAACCCTTTACAATATCAAACATTTCTCAAAACAATCGCTTTCCCGAAAATTGATAAAGTTGTAAACAACTTTTTCTCAAAATTGTTTTGTTTTATAGGTTCTACGGATATCCTCAATTCAGTTACAGGGTCGTTTTGCTTTCGCAACAACCCATTTAACTTAAATAACCCAAGACACATTAAAAATAAAATAATGTTAATTCAATATACAACAAAATAAATGCATAATTTTGTAGCAATAAATAATAATTTTGAAAATATTTTAAATATTTGTGGTGGCCCGTTTTCTATGACGCGGAGTGTAGTTTAAATATATTCATTTTTTTTCCGAAATTTTTCATTTTGGTTCTGACAGACCCCACCCTTGTATTTGTGTTATTTTATTTCGCCCGTCCGCTGGAGGGTTAACTATTTATTAGCATAAAATTGTTAATGTAAAGCCTCGTGAATTTCTCCATGGTTACCCTTTTTATGATTATGTTCCGAAAATATCATATTGTTACTGTTAAGGTTACAAGCATATTTTTCCTTTAAAATGGAATCCTTACTTATCTGTTACATTTCTAACAAATCTTGAATATTGTAATTATATTGATCAGTGAATACTACTACTATAGAAATACGCAATGGATAAATAGTTTAAATATATTTTTTTTTTTTCGAAATTTTTCATTTTGGTTCTGACAGACCCCACCCTTGTATTTGTGTTATTTTATTTCGCTCGTCCGCTGGAGGGTTAACTATTTATTAGCATAAAATTGTTAATGTAAAGCCTCGTAAATTTCTCCGTGGTTATCCTTTTTATGATTATGTTCCGAAAATATCATATTGTTACTGTTAAGGTTTAGTATCAGCATCCAGAGTACTATTAAAACAAAAAATACAATTTTCAATCTGTTTTATTCTGTACTTAAAAAGGGAATTTTATTCAATAATAATCTCCAGGAAGAACCAATATTACTTAACTTAAAACTCTACCTAACATAATAGCTTACAACTTAATAGCTTCTGCAAGAGAGCATGACAGTCCGGTACCATCAGGTTCTACTTGTAAAGCAGTAATTTTACCATTTTCGACAACCATAGAATATCTCTTGCTTCTGGTTCCGCCTAGAGGAGCAATATCAACCGAAAGATCCAAAGCTTTGGCTAGAGCAGCGGAAGGATCAGCAAGCATTCGTACTTTTCCTGAAGTTTTGTGTTCTTTGCCCCAAGCAGCCATTACGAAAGGATCATTTACTGATACACATACTATCTCGCCGACTCCTTGACTCTTTAACTCGTCAGCTTTGTTTACATATCCGGGTAAGTGAGTCTGAAATGGATAGATAATGATGTTTGAGAAATTAATAAAATTAAGTTGTCATGAAATAAAAATATGCAGAAGTTGAAAGTATTAACAAAAAAGGTAAAACTGAAGTAGAAGATTTCTACTTAAATTAACAATGAAAATAATACCAACAAAATATTGTCAATGCGCTTGAATTATGGGAGAAACCTACTCTCACGTCCAGAGACTTTAAAAGTTTCAGGTAGGTGATGGGAAGATATTTCTTAATTTTGAAAATCAGGCCTGTCAAAAAACCTTGTCAAAGGGTTGACTAACGTCTAGAAAGGCAGCTGTGCAGTACAGTTTGCTTTCTATTGTAGAATTTATTGAGTGTACTATTCTGTGAACCTGTTGTATCATTGAGTTTTCTTTTCGAAAGCCAAATTGGTGGTTGGGTATCAATTCCTCAGTATTGGGGTATGCATTAATTTTTTGTAACAGTAACCTTTCAAGTATTCTGGATGCGATTGGTCGTAGACTTATTGGCCTATATGATGAAACCTCATTTGGATTTTTTCCTGCTTTTGGAATTAGGATTATTTCAGCGGTTTTAAAGAGCTTTGGCCAGTAATTTGACCACATAATGGCATCAAAGATGATAGTAAACAGTATGATTCCTTTATCTGGTAGTTCCTTTATCATCTTGGATGTTATTTTGTTGTGTTATGTAATGTTTAAATATTGAATTACTTGTTGAACTATTTTTTTAGATAGTGGTCTGATTACTGGTATGTTCGCTGGAATGTTATTTACGTCTCTTTCAATTTCAATGTCTGGAGCTTCATTGTTGGGAGTAAATACTTTAAAGTGTTTGGCAAATAGCATTGTTTTTTCATCACTTCTGGCCCACTGTAGTGTTGGTCCCTGTTGATTTCTAATTGGATATACCGGAGTTTTTGATCGGTTTCAATATTGAGTTGTCATGCTGGTTAAAATTTGTTACATAGTTTGTAAATGACAGTTCTTGTGCGTCTTTAAGTTTGGATTTTAGTTGATTGCTTAGCACCTTTAATGTAGTCTTGTCTTCTGAGACTATTTGGTCCTGCTTCCCTTTTTTGAGTTACCAACTTTTATTTCAGTTGGGATGTATTGGGACCTGATATTGAGATGATATTGGCTACCTGTATTGTTCGCAGGTGTGGCATTTTGTATGGCCTCCAAGAGAGTGTTGTTTAAGTCTGTTAGTGTTTCATCTATTTCCCTCATTGTTTTGAGGCTTACTTGTAAACTGATATCTTCTTATAATTTGCTACGATATTTGTCTCAGGAGAGCAGGAGAAATGCCCTGAGTGATAAATAGATCCAGCAGATCAGGTGTTCTAAATAATGTACCATTGCTAAAAAGCTAACCACAGGAACACCTGTAGGAAAAAGAAGCAAAGGCCGACCGCGAATTAGGTGGTTAGATGGAGTAGAAACCAACTTACGAATATTAAAAATCAGAAGATGGCAACATGTTGCCAAAAACCGAACAGAATGGTGACAAATCTTAGAGCAGGCCAAGATCCACAGAGGATTGTCGAGCCAAAGATGATGATGATGAGATCAGGTGTTCTGTTTGGGTCTGTAGGCCAGTATGTAGGAGAGCCTGTTGACAAAGGTTGGTAGGTGTTTTCATGTATTAGGTTTACTACTTCTCTGTCTTTAGTTGTTGTAAGACAAGATCCAAATAATACATGTTTGCTGTTGAAGCCTCTCCCTACAATGAAATTATGTCCTAGAGAAAAAAGGTTTTGAAGTCTTCTTTCTTTAAGATGTATTGGGGTGGACAGAAGACTGCTGTAACTGTTAGTTTGTAAGAACTCATGCTGACTTTGTTGAGAAAAGTTGAGAAGTATTTTCAATTTTGAAAATAATTATTCCACAAACTTCCAGTGACAATCATTGAGAGGTAGAGGGAGAAAGAAGAAAAGAGAGATATTTAGTGGAATTTTACCAAAAGACCATTGACCAAAGTTGTTCAACCTATTTACAAATTTGTTTTACAAATGAATAACATGCAGAACTATAAAAAACAGAAAACCACAAATGTGAATAATAACAGGCACTGGGTACAAACAGATCAATTTTATACCTTGCTATTAGCAGCAACAACTATTCATAGAGTGTTATAACTAGATACTTTTTCATTTTCTAAAATGATCTAGTATTATGAGGATATATGGTTCTAACATTCAAACATTGTTGATTTCAAAGGCAAATGACTTGAATAACTTCTTCTATCCATTTGGTTTGGTTTGTTTTTCATTGGAATGATTATGGATTTGATTATTAGGAAGGCACATTATAAACACTGATTATTTTGATATATCTGCTACTTTTATAGTGTATAGAGTGGGATTTTAGGTTAGGTTAGTTTCAATATGAGTGGGTGCTTAACCACCCATCCACTAGAACTGAGAAATCTGCTGTGGCTCATACCTAGGTTAAAGTTGTTAACAAACTCTAATATTGCCTTTGGTGACACTTCTACTATGTTATAGGGCTTGAGTTAATGTATTACTCAATTGTATTGAACCTTATCCTATCCAACCCTGGGCAGTTGCACAGAATGTGTTCTGTCATCTTGTCTTAAGCCTGGCATTATCTGTAATTCACACTTTCTGTCAGTCTGCTAGAGTGGGATGTTAGCAGTTGGAAAACATGAGGAAACTATAATCTATATGAGTATGTGTGCAGTAATTCCCTAATTTTTTAATGTTCTTCAGTGAGTGTTCTATTGAAGTTCAGATTGAAGTTTAAATTTAGGGTCTACTGCAATGTTCTAATAATTTATAGATGTTGTATAATATTGCAATGTATTTATACATTTAATTGCAGACCAAATATTTGACTTTCGTTTTCAATCAGTCAGATAAGTTCTATCAGCTCTGCTTGACTATTTGCAAGAAGGGCTGTGTCATCTGTGAAACGTAGGTTGTTTAGTTTATGACCATTTATTGAGATGCCCTTTTCCCATCCTTCAAGTGCTTTTCACATAATATACTCCCCATATATGTTGAATAATTGTGGAGATAGTATACATCCTTGTGGTACGCCTACTTCTTTTAGTATTCGCCATAAGTGTCTCCACTTGACCCTGTCGAACACTTTACGGTAATCTATAAAACAGATGTATAGTGGGATGTTGAATTCCCTAGATTTCTCGATTATCTGTCTTATATTCAGCAGGTGTTCTCGAGTGCCTCTACCTTTGGTAAATCCAGTTTGCTCTTGTGGAATTTCTCTTTGAAGAAATGTTTTCAGTCTCTCATTGATTATATGTAGCATTATCTTGCTGGCATGGGATATAAGAGAGATATGAGACTACTCAAACTATAATTAAGCAATCCTCTAAGCTCTGAAATTCTACAATTTGTCCTCTATTATGATGTCTGCTTCATTTTTTACTATTGTTGACAAAAGGTACTGTACAGTACTCATTGGTAGATAAAATTGTTCAGCAATATCTTTCTTCTTTTGACATCTCTTCATAGCTTTGAGCAGTTCTAACTTTGCAGGGAGATTTAAGTTTTTAAATTTACATTTCATAGCAGACATGTTTTAACAGCTTTATTTGTAAACTATGGTACAAATTGATGGATATTGCTTCTGACATGTAGGTAACCAAACTACTTCTGAGAAAAACCAGTTACTTTTCTGAGAGACAATAATTTACTTACATTGTTGACCAATTCTTAAACTTGTTAACTTATTTTTCTTTAAACTATAGAGGTAATACTTTTCAATGATCATATGATATTATTTATATCATATAATCATTAAGTAGTGATGTGTTTCTGCCTTCAAACATAGTTTCACAGTATTCAATTTCAGATATACTATGAAAATTATGAATGAAACAAATCAAATACTGCATTACAAAATAGAGGATCTTTATAAGAAAGCATAGTTTTTTTAGAAACAATTATTATTTAGCTGATATCCTACAACTAAGATACAATAAAAAGCTTGTAAATACCTTAGAACATCCTGGTGTAAATGCACCTGGAACAGCGAATAGTATCACCTTCTTTCCAGAAGAAAGTTGAGCCAAATTTACTTTGTTGGTAGGTAAATCTTCAAAGAGATCTACACTGGGAATACTGTCACCTACCTAAAAGAATGATTAGTTTAATGCAATGAAACTAATCATTGCCCAAAAATTCATTTAAATTAACAAATTGATATAACTAAATTATTATTTATAATTAATTTTTAAGCATTAATGAGTTAATACAGGTTTTCAATTTTGTGTTCATATATTGCTAAAGACGTTTTACATCACATTTTCATTTCTTGGAGTTCCAAGTCTTGTTCCAGTAGATGATTATGATTAGACATTAAAGTGAAGTAGCTGCATATACAGGAAGATTGACTTTTTAACTCAATAAGAAACAAACATATATATTATTTATTGCATATGTAGTTGCAATTGCAATTGAAGTTCCTCCAATAAAACAATAATTATTAATTATTAACAAAAAGAAAATTTTAAATTTTTTTGCTTTTTAACAATTTTATACTTGTTTTGCTTTTTATGGAATACTCTTCACTATGAGGGCATTGTTTGTTGCTATAAGAACATTTACAAAGACTTATACTAGTGCCTGTATGTAAAAAAATGACTAAATTTAAATTATTAATTTTTTGACTTATCTAAATATTAAAATTAACATTCTCTAATTGCTTGCTATACCATTACATAACGTAATTTTACTTACTTTAACCATTTTAGCCGAAGAAATATGCAACAACCTTTGGAAAAACTGTAATTTTATTCCGGTAGATCCAGATCCAACTGTTAATCTTTTTAATACATTCGCCGTGACATTCATTTTATAAAAACTTTTTTTTTCCGGCCGGACTAATCTTCTTTCTTCTTTCCTCCTTTACAGTTTAGTACTAAGTACTGTAAAATTAGACAAAGACAAGATACCGATTGTGGTGATAGAAATGTGACCTTCGTCCTTCGTTATGGTTTTATCACCTTCGTATTTTTCCGTTTTTACGTCCAACTATTTAAAATATTAGATTTTTAGTAATAATATGAATTATAGAAAGCTGAAATGTAAATATATATTAACGAGTGCTTGTATTATATTCTGAATAAGTAAAAACGACAATAACTATTTAAATTATATTTTAAAACTATGAAATTGGCAACGTGACAAATATCAATTTTAATCTTCCTTTTTGTTTATTATTCTGTGCTTTAACCACAGAATAATAAGGAATTGTTTATTATTCTGTGCTTTAACCATAGAATACCAAACATTTTTTCAATAATTATTTAAAAAAACAACACTAATGTTGCATATTAAATAATCCATTGCGTAACCTAATTGAACGTTTTATTTGGTTTTATAAACTCGGTTCGCTATTGCCAGTCCGAACTGTCTAGTGAATTTAGTAATTATTTTTTTGCGAAGTTAGTTACTTTTTGACACACTAAAAGTGGCTGGAAATTACTATACAACCAAGCACACGTACTCATAGTCAATATTAATAGTAAGAATGACCGACACTCAATATTTATTTATCTCCACCAAATATAATAAATATTTATGTTAAATTATAAGAACTAAAATATATTTTTTAAATATATACTACCCAAAATTTGATGGGTTTAATATACACTTCCACTATTTAGAATAATTCTTCTCTTTTTCAAAGAAAGAAGTCTGCAATAGTAGTATACTTGAGCTATTCATACTGAGAAGTAGGAATTGTTGTGTTGTAGGTTTCCAACAATGAATCTGTCAAAATATGCCCGAGCTAAGCGAATGAAGTATACCCTCGTTCCATCTATCATTGTTCCTCGTTCCATCTAATATTAAGGACACGCTTTGACACGCAAAGATAATGTGGGCTTTACACGCTTTACACCAGCAATAAATTCACAAAGATATTCATGAATAATTTATTCATCAATTTCTCTGTCAATAAATTCTTGAATGTCGGATATAATTTCAAACTGTTTAAAGTAACTTTAGTTATATTCCACAGGAATTGCGCTAAATATTATGAAAATGTTTAATGATCTCAGATAACTGAACTTGGTTATCTAATCGGAGCATGGACGTATAAATAAAGACGTCCATGAATCGGAGGTATTATTTTAAAGTGCTCATCTTTTAACTTTAATTTTGAGTAACTACAATAATACAATCAACATCTAAAGCTCAAGAACCATTATAAATATCCTATAACAAGCAAGAATAATGGAAAATAACGAAAACTCAGGAACCTGGACTCAGTAGTCGAATAGCCTTTGCAAAGAGTCAAATACTTTCAAAAAAAATTCGATCTATATTCTATTATACGCTAAAGTAAATTGAAAAATCATTTGCAACTTAATATATTTTTTGTCTTACCATATTATATTCTTTCTGACTATTTAGTAATATGATATAAAATAATGTAAATAATTTTTATTCCCGAGACAGTTTATTTTAATTTTGAATGTTGGTAGTATAGGAAGATTGGTAAACAAAAGACGCTGCTAGTGTTTCCTTCCTGTGACGGCCTTGTCAAATATTGATTATTTCAGTTTCTCTCTTGTTTATCGTCGTCAACGAAACACTCAGCATTTTCTACGTTGTGACAATTTCATCGAAAGCAGGGTTCTACGCATCGCTTCGAATTTGGGTAACTACATGTAAAACTACTCATTGGATCTACGAATCCTTCAAGTATTTAAATTTAGCATACAAGTTTCTTTTTGACTGCGAATTTATATAAAACCTACTTTGCATTAGACGCCCTGCAGCGCCGACATTTTGTTTTAAATTTTACATATAACATAGCTATTTCCGTCGATATATTGACTTCGCAGTTTAGTTAAGTATTGTTTTTCAATTCGTCATGCTTAAGGAATCGATTGATAAAACATTTATTAACTTTTTTCATTTTTACCCTAATATTACTACGCATTCGCCTAACCGGCAAATATTATTTAATGTTACCTACGAAATTCTACGTTCCACAGAAACATGGGCGACCGATCAAGAGATAGGACGACGAGAGTGTACGTCGGAGGGCTCACCGAATCGATAAAAAAAGAAGACCTAGAAGGGGAGTTCGAGAAATACGGCAAGCTAAACTCTGTTTGGGTAGCCTTCAACCCTCCAGGTTTCGCTTTCATCGAGTTTAACAACCATACCGATGCTGAAACTGCCTGCGATAACTTGAATGGTACAGAATTCCTGGGTGCCAAACTTAGGGTTGAAATTGCAAAGGGAAGACCACGACGTGGAGGCCCCCGGGGCGGTTTCAGAGGCAGTAGAGGAAGCAGAGGCAGAAGGTTCGACAGCTTCGAAGGCAGAGTCGAGCGTCGTTTCGACAGCAGAGGCGGCGGAGGTCGCTTTGGTGGTAGAAGCTTTGATAGAAGAAGAGACTTTCCCCAAGGAATGGTTATGGTGGCAGTGGACCAAGAGGCAGCCGTGGAGGTGGTCGCTTTAACGACAGATTCAGGTCCAGATCACCAAACATGGGACCACCAAGACGTAGGGATTAAGGTTTTTATTTTGTAAGTTATATTTGTAGATGTTAGTGTGTCAAGTGGTTTCAAAAGTCCATTAGTATATTTTCAGTCTCATTTTATGAGGCTAAATTATAATTTACAGTCAAGTACCATTTCACTATGTGAAAGAAATATTTTGTAACAAATTTAGATATCATATTTGCAAATTTACTATAAAATATAGCATCTTTTTGGATTAATGTTCTGAATTTTGAAGTTTTACTAAATATATGTACAATTTGTATTGTACAGTCTTGATTCAATGTATTTTTCTGAAGCTATTTTCTTATGACCTGTTGATACAATTTACTATTTTTACTGGGAATGAGCCATAATTTTACTTTAAAGTTTATTTTTATGTTTTGTCAAAATGAAGTTATTTTAGTAAAACTGTGGCTTATTAAGAGTAAATGTTGTAAGTTGATTCAATGTATAGTCAATTGGTGTTCTTTGTAAAAAGCCTAAAAGATTATATCACTTTTTAAAACTATTGTGAAATATTTGTTTGGTTAGTTGTGAGAAGAGTTTAATCTTCGCATAATGTTAATTATAACTTCGCTGAAAAAGTTTAAAAAATAACTTGAAATTTGCCGTTAGTACTGAAATCAACAAAAAAATCTAACAATAATATCAAATTCACTTAATCAACAAACTAAAGAACAAACATTCAATTTCAACTGTTATTTGTTTTATATAAAATATGTTGTATACTGTTAATAAAATTCCTTAATAATCAGATTTGGAAAATTACGATTTCTTCACTAGGTAATCTGATGTTAATTGATTAGATTCTACAAGCATCTAGCCAAAAGATCTCTTCAAAGAAACAATATTGTAACAGAGGTTGGTGAAGCTGTCAAATATATTAATTCGAATTTATTTGTAGCTTATGAAAGGGTTAATCAAATGCATATTTCCTTAATAATAAAATTAAGCTCAAATTTTAATATACTTTTATTTACATTTGTTTTATATAATGTGTAACCAGATAATGTAAAATTTGGGCTTTCTTATTCATCCTATTTTTTATTATTGACTTGTATATATTTGAAAAAAAAATTGTGGGTACAGTACCACATTATTTACGAAAAAATGAAACTTTGTAGACTCTTTAACTAGCAAATGTGACTTGCCAAAATATGTATATTTTGCCAGGGATATTTTCTAAAGTTTTTTTTCCAGAGGTAGTACTTTGTAAATAATGTAGTATTTCAAACAAAAGTTAATTTTATAGGTTTTCAATCTATATCAGTTTATTGTAATTATATCAATTTTCATAAGTTATTAATTAGAATAGTAATTTAATCTGTAATCAGTTCTATAAATAGTTGGTTGATTCCTTCAAATATTGAAACTATCAAATGTTAACATTTTCAACTATAAATAAACCACTCTTTTACCAGCAGTTAACTGATTACTGATTAATTAACAAATAATCAACATTGCACTTATCTTTTAAAATGAGACTGATTGGTTCTTAAGTTATTCTAGAGTAGGCATTTTTTTATTTCGTAGTTTTGTGACTGCTAATGGACTAAACCAAGATTTTCTTTAAGTGTATTTTTTAAGCGTTTTACTAAATAAGACCATGTAAGTTTGTTCTGATCTGGTAACATACTCTGTAAGGCTGTTTTGGATTTATTTTTATATTACTAGATTTCATTGTATACAAAAAAAGGATAAGAATCTTTCAAATAGAGTTGTGCTGTTTTTTATATATTGGATACACCTCAATAATTTGTATTTTGTTTTGTTTACATTAACATCAAAATGGTACTTATAACAATAAATTATAAAATAGGAAATTGTTTGTTTCATTTTGAGTATGTCAGATTTTTCAAATGAGTTCAGCTTTTCTTCTATTTTCTTTCAAAAAGCTTGTGTCTAAATATTTGCATTCATTTGTTTACATGTAACTGCTTGTTTTTAGTCTTGACCTATTTCCTTATCTGCCAAGTATTTTATATTTTGTAGCCATTGACCTAGATTTACTGCGATCATATAAGGAGTGAATGAATGGAAAAGTGTAAAATATTTAATTCCTGAGCACTTTCAGCTTTATAAAGCCATCCTCACAGTTAAAGTACTATTAATAAAGAGGGATCACATTGGTGAAAAAAAAAAACTTCGAAATATGTTTAAATTATCACCAATAGGGGTACTTTATAGATTTGAGAATGGCTTTGTAAACTGAAAGCCCTCGAGGAAATCAGTATTTTTCAGTTATCATATGAGTTTGCAGAATAAAGTAGCTATAAGCAAAAAAGTGCCCAATTTGGAGAGAATTTGGGAAATGATAGATGTGGAAAGTTGTCTAATCTTGTAGAAATTTCTGAATTGATTTCATATTATGCTAATACTTCTCTCCATTGGTTTTATTTTCTAATATTCAATAAGATCCGTAATCTAATATTGCAGAGCATAACATTGGCTTCATGAAAGTAGTTTTTGGATTTATTTTAACAAGATGTTTAAAGATTTAGTTGTTTCTATTTGCTGTTTGTGTCTTGGATTGACATAATTTTCATATCTATTATTTCTGATGGAAAAAGACCGGCATTTTTAAAAATAATGTAATTAAAAAAACTGGGAGTAGAGAAGGGAGCGGAAAATGAAGGCAAAACTTATACTGTCTATGACAGTGGATACAATAAATTAAATCAGAATGAAAAGCATAAAACACTCTTCAATTAAAAAAAAAATGAGCAAATCATTTGGAAAATTGGAACATAAAGAGCATAAATGTTAAGAAATAGAACTAGTAGACTAGTTTGATGTTACAGAATTAAGTATACTATGATATCTCAATATCTGAGGCCAGAAAAAAGGATAAGGAATAGTAAAAAATGGAAAATAATCATACCTTAATACACAGAGGAGTATCAAAAGATGGAAGCATGTTTAGATTCTACAATACATAAAAGACTGGAAAAACTGCTATGCCTACTTCTGGAAGGCATGGTCAGGGAGAATATTAATTAATAATGAATGATAATGACTATATCGTTTATAAAACTATTATTGTAGTATATGGACCAAAAAAGTTGATGCACAAAACCAAGGTAAATTTTCACATAAATTTTAAATTTAAACGGAGAGTTAACGTTAGCAAGGAGAAATACCTACACACTGCAGAAGATTTGAACAGAGTGAATAAAAGTTGAAATCTATACTAGACAATAGGACCATACAGAGAAATAACAGTGGAAGGAGATTGCTAGAAATTTGAACTTTAAACAATATGACTATAACTAATTCATTAATATTGTTCTGAAGCTATTTTCTTGTGGCATTTTAAAATAATTACTATGAGAATAAGCTTCAATTAACTTCTAATTATACCAACTCTTTAATGAACCAGGCGTCGAAACGTTTACACAGTGACTTAAGATGAACTGGACACATCATACGAGTGCCAGACAGCACAATTGCTAAAAAGCTATCCACAGGAACACCTGTATCAAGAAAAAGCAGAGGCTGACGGTGAATTAGGTATAGTTGGATGGTTTAGAGACGGGCTTAGATTATCAAAAATCAGAAGCTGGCAACAGGTCGCCAGAAAGTGAACAGAATGAGGAATACTAAGAAACATCTTTTTTAACATCCCTATCCTGTATTCTATACAACATCTCATTAGAGAAAATAATTAGAGGGTCAAAAGTCAACACCAGAGGAACACTGATAACAAACATTGTACAAATATTGGCATTTGCAGATAATGTTGATATAGCTAGAAGCGAAAGAGAGATGATAGAAGCATTTAATGCGATAGAAAGAGCAGCACAAAACAGTGGCTTAAACATTAATGAAATAAAAACCAAATACATGAAGGCCAGCAAATCGACAGGCCAAAGAAACTTACAGAATCTGATAAGAGGAGACTATAACATCGGAATCGTGAAAAATTTTACATATCTAGGTTCACTAGTTACCGGAAGATAACAATGTCAGTGAAGAAGTTAAGAGAAGAATACATGGACACTGTCGAAAAGCGATGAGAACCTATTAGGTACGTTTGAAAGAAAAATCCTTAGACACATATCGTCGGTTTACTGCCAAAACCAGATAAGTGCATTTTTACCATGTTTAAGTGCATTGTCGTAATCAAAATTCGTATATAAATGTACTGCGTAAAACAGATAAGTGTCGGACAATGGAAAAGAGGAGAATTATATAGGCTTGTTTTGGCAATTATTCATTTTTGTCAAACTATACAACTGAAACAAGTTAAGTGCACATTTAACGAAAAGTACAAATTTCATATGCAAAAAAAATTAATTCTTCTTGAAAAACTGGTTAGAGTTGAAGTATAGTAGATTTATAGAATGACCATGCGTATAAAAAAGATAGGTGCAATTATCTTGTTTTTACAGTTTATCTTGATGATATCTAAAGGGTAAAGCAACATATTGAAAGTTTTCCTATACTGGTTCCACTATACGAGAAGTTCTACCAAACGAAATAATCTAGATTGTAAATTGAGTATGACTAAAATGTACTTAATGTATAAACAATTATATGAACATGAGGGTACCTCACGTGTATCTTCAATCACTTATAAACACATTTTTTGTAATAATTACTATTCTTTCTTCACTCCAAAAAAAGATCAATACCAGCTCTGCACACAATACAAGACTAATAATGAAGAAAAGAAAAGCATTCACAGACGCCATATCAAGAACACGTAGCTCAAAAAGAGGATTGCAAAACAGCAAAAGCAAGGGACAAAGCTAGAGCTATGAAAGGTCAATTTCGTATGTGCTACATTTGACTTGCAATCTGTGCTTCAAATACCGAGTAGCGACGTGAGTCCAATGTACTACAGTCGAAAAATTTGCACTTATAAATTTGACAGTGCAACTAGCACCGCCAAATAATGCGTTTTGTTATAGCTGAATAGAGCTTCATGGAAAAATTGGTAGCTTAGAAATTAGCACCTGCCTCTTTATTTATATTAATCAGCTTCCCAATAGTATAAATGCGTTATCAGTGTTTTCCTACACTTGCAGTGGACAAAACAGGAACCAAAATGTTAGCGCTTTGTTACTCTATTTGGTTCAAAAAAATCCCAACTTGATGATTATAGAGCCAAAGTTTCTGGAAAGTGGACATAGCTACATGAAAGTAGACAGTATGCACAGTGCCATAGAACGATCCCATAAGTATGTTTCTGTGTATACAACGCATATGATTGGCTAACAATATTTCGCACTGCGAGAACATCATCAAAAAAGAAACCGTTTGTTGTACAGGAACTCAAATATAAAGATTTTCTTGACTTAGAAGGCATTTCTAAGCTTACTAAAAATAAAACGAGAGACATGAAAAACGAAAAAGTAAAGTGGTTAAAAGTTAAGTGTTTTCGATACCAAAACCCTAAACCAGGAATCCTTGAATATAGGTATGATCATACCTCAGAATATAGAGACGAACGTTTTTGGGAGAAGTCGAAAAATACATAATTTGAAAAAAATAACGCTAAAGGGCGCGTATACGAAGATACGACCTATAAATTCCAAAAAAAAAACAAGATTTATTGAAGTTGTGCAAGTCTGGTGTGATTCCAGACGAATTTCACTCATATTATTATAATTTACCATCCTCCGACACGTTGTTGAAGACGATATTACTGAACCAGCACTTGAAGATAGGGATCCTGAAGTTGATATTTAAGTTAAACATACTTTAAGACAAGTTTCAAATTACGCTAATCAGTTCAGGCAAAATAGGTTAAGTACAGATTTTTTTTGCATTTTTTCAAAATTTTTAACATTTCCTAATTTTTTTTCTGATTTTTTGTATTAACTATTTTCACAGAACTACAATCTATGTTATTTTATCGGTTATTAAATGTTTCCTTTCATGTAGTTGTTTTACTGTAGGCTTAAACTTTTAAACTTTTTCACAAAACTAACAAAATGTAACTTATCTGGTTTTGGCAGTAAACCGACGATATATAAGGAGGTGAAAGAAAATGACATATGGCGCAGAAGAACTATACACAGTATACAATGAACTCGAGGTGATAACACCCATAAAGATCGGACGTCTGCTCTGGATGGGCCATATTGAACGGATGTTGGAGACTGAAACACCAAAACATATAATGAAGCGAACACCAGTAGGGAGAAGGTCAACGGGAAGATTCAAATTTAGATTACTAAGTTTGGATAAAAACTTAAGATTACCAACTGGAAAAACAAAGCAAGGAACAGAAGAGAATGGCGGAAAATCCTAGAACAAGCCAGGACCCAGAAAGGGCTGTCGAGATTTTTTAACATCTGAATTTATTCTACTTTGTAAATCTATTTAAAGTGGATTATTCAAATCACCCTATGCTAACTTAGCATCATCACTGACTTGGATAATTGTGCCTCTTTACTTAGAAAGAAATGAACAGGAAGAAGACACTAAGGTAGCTTTTTATCAAGATCTAGAACGAATCTATGACTCAATACCAGGAAACGACATTAAAATGGTGATAGGTGACACAAACGCCAAAATCGGAAAAGAAGAAGAGTACATAGGGGTAATAGGGAAACATAGTCTGCATAGAGAGACAAATGAGAATGGTCAGTTTCTAATAGACTTCGCAGCTGGAAAGAATATGGTTATCAGTTCGACCTGCTTCCCACATCGGGACATACATAAGGGCACTTGGATATCACCTGACGGAAACACAGTCAATCAAATAGACCACGTACTGGTTGAAAGAAGAATGGCCACAAGTATATTAGATGTAAAAAGTAGGCGTGGAGCAAGCTGTGACTCCGACCATCTACTAGTACAGATACGGTTCAGATGTAAAATCAGTCTACAAGCAAAGGAAAAATATCTGAAACAAGAAAAACTAAACTTAGATAACCTAAAAGTCTCTGAGTACAAGAAAGATTTGAGAGAACAGTGAGTGAAAAATTACTAGAAGAAAACATAGAAGAATTCACAATAGAAAATCATTGGAACACCATAAGCACTATCATACTAAACACGGCACAAGAAGTTCTTGGAACAAACACTCAACGGAGAGAAGAACAGTGGTTCGATGAAGAATGCAAACAAGCTATTCACGAAAGAAATGAAGCACATAAGAATTTCATACTCAGGCGAACTAGAGAGAGAAGGACAGAATTTGAGAATAAAAGACGAAGAGCTAATAAACTATGCAGACAGAAAAAGAGACGGTACGAAAACAACCGGATACTAAACATAGAGAGGGCGTTCAAGGAAAACGAAACACGCAGTGCATACCAACTTATCAAACATTTAAGACAGGGTTACAAACCGAAGACTAGCCTATGCAAAAATAAGAATGGAGAAATAATTAGCGATATGGACGAAATTAAGAGAACCTGGATGATGTATTTTAAGGAATTATTAAACGAAAGGGCACAAACACCACTACAACAGCGGCAGCAGCAGGTAGAACAGGAAGGTCAACAACAGGAGCTGTGGGAAGATGGAGAAGATAATGAATTGGCTAGACCTCCAACGCTAGAGGAGGTTCGAACAGCAATCCAAATGCAAAAAAGCCATAAAGCGCCGGGAATAGATAAGATACCGGCAGAACTGTTCAAGCAGGAGGAACAAATTTGACAGAACAGATGTACCAGCTTATACAAGAAATATGGAGAGAAGAAAAAATCCCACAACAATGGAAGAAAAGTATAATCTGCCCTATTCATAAAAAAGGAGACAAACTATTATGCCAGAATTATAGAGGCATCTCTTTACTTTGTTCGGATACAAAATACTCACAAACATTCTTAATCGAAGACTTCAATCCCTCACTGAAAAAATTATCGGGGAATATCAAGCAGGGCTCAGGCAAAATAGATCTACTATTGACCAACTATTTACAGTTAAACAAATACTAGCCAAAGCATGGGAATATGACATAGACGTCTACAATCTCTTTGTAGATTTCAAGCAAGCCTATGATTCAATAGATAGAACAATACTACCTAATATATTACAAGAATTTGGCATACCATCAAAATTAATAAGACTAGTGCAAATGACAATGACAGAAACAGAAGCACATGTATGTATTCAAGGACAGATCACTGATGCGTTTATGACAACGCAAGGACTGAAACAAGGTGACGGACTGGCTCCAACACTTTTTAATCTTGTTCTTGAATATGTAATTAGACGGTTGACGGTGAGCAGAAATAACATACTTACAAACAAATCTACCCAATTAGCAGCATACGCAGATGACATAAACATAATGAGCAGAACAAAGACTGCGACAGAAGAAACCTACGTTCAGTTGAAACAGAGTTCAGAAGTTGTAGGGCTAACAATAAATACAAATAAAACAAAACTACTCATACAAACCAGATCAAATAGACAGGCGCAACAACAACAATTTATAGACGATATAGAATACGTGAATAGATTCACGTATTTAGGAATGGATCTGGTCGAAAATAATGAAGAAGAACCGGAAATAAATAGAAGGCTTATGCTGGCAAACAAAGCCTATTTCGCGATGGGCCACATATTCAAATCGCGAGACGTACACCGGAAAACAAAACTCCGGGTATATAAAACAATAATCCGACCAATAGTAAGTTATGGGTGTGAAACATGGGTTATAACACAGAAATCTACCAATGCATTAGACGTGTTCGAAAGAAAAATATTGCGTAGAATACTGGGTCCAATAAAGGAAAATAACAACTGGCGAATTAGATATAATAACGAAATATACGAACAATACACTGAACCAACACTAGCACAATACACTAGACTGCAGAGATTACGATGGGCAGGGCATGTGGCCCGCATGCATGAGAACAGAATCTCCAGAAAATTACTAAACGCAAGAATGCAAGGAAAAAGACCTGTTGGAAGACCAAAAAAGAGATGGGAAGACGAGGTAGATGAGGATGCCAAAAATCTCCTAAAAACGCGTTCATGGAAAAGAACAGCAGTAAATAGAGATGTTTGGAGAGGTTTAATGAAGGAGGCCAAGGCCCGGCTTGGGCTGTAGTGCCATTGGATGGATGGACTTAGAAAGAAATAAACAAAAACAAAGATAAAAACATAATACAATAATACCTAATATTATATTAAATATATCTTTCTAATATATTCGAAATTCAATTAATTACTCTCATCACATCACAATTTTTGTCTATTAGAGTAAGTTAGAGTACTTTTCAGATGATAAACAATAAACCCAGTTAAAAATAAATCTAAATTTCATTGAATTTTAGATTTCCCAAACCCAACCACTGAAACAACCCAAATTTCAACGTTCGCTGATGACACCACCATAATCGCTGTCAACGAGGACCCCATTATCGCGTCTGCACAACTGCAAAACCACCTTAACCAATTGGGAACATGGCTCAACAAATGGAAGGTGAAAGTAAATGAAACGAAGTCATCCCAAGTTACATTTACAAACCGAAGGGATGTATGTCCAACAATCACATTAAACGATACACAATTACCAGTCAGCACACAAGTTAAATATTTGGGACTAACCCTTGACAAAAGATTAACATGGAAGCCACACATTCAAGCCAAGAAAACCCAGATCAACATCAAAATACGACAAATGAGCTGGCTTATGGGTCGAAAGAAAATCAAAACTCAATACTGAAAATAAACTGCTCCTGTATAAATCTATGATAAAACCAATTTGGACCTATGGCGTTCAACTCTGGGGTTGCTCAAAGCCATCAAATATCAAGATAATACAAACAGTCCAATCAAAAATATTGAGAATAATATTCAACGCGCCCTGGTATGTAAGCAATAAAACCCTACACGAGGACTCAGCTACACCTTTGGTAGAGGAAGAAATTCAAAGGATCACAAAGAGCTACCTATATGGTCTGAGAAGTCATCCAAATGATGAAGCAAGACTGCTAAACGCTCCTCCCGTATTCGCAAGACGACTGAAGAAACAATGGCCAACAGATTTAATAAATTAAATATATTATGATCTAATGTAAAAAATATAATAGGAGAGTTGCCACAGGGCAGCTTCTCCCTCATGTATTTAACATTCAAACTATTTACTTATAGCTTCGATGAAGCAGATTGTAAATTAAATTATGCTATAAAAAAAAAATTCATTGAAAATAGAAGTAAAGTATAGACATATCAAAACACTGTCTTTATACAATTAAGTAGGTATATTTGGAACAACAAAAATAAAAAACCATAGTTACCTTAAAATTAAACAAATATTTAACAAATGAAAACAATTCAAGGCATGTGATCTCATCGCAGGTTTAATCTACTTAAATTACTTGAATTTTATTGCTATTTTCATACTTAATTTCAAGGAATCCTAACAACAATAGACTATTAAATTCAAACAGGGAAATTAAATTTAAGTATTCCATTTTATGTAAGTATATAAAGGTAATCACTTTGTTTTTTAAATAAAAAATTCTCACAAAAATCATTTAGAAATTAAGTTTTTTAACTTAGAAATTTGACTTAATACTACTGAGCTTGTATTTGAAACATTCTCTGGCTACAATAGAAGGAAATACAATTTAAAAGTCAAAGTATTGCTTATTGCTTAACCTGCTCTCAATTGAATACATTTATTACAATAAATAAACAACGCCACTAGAACCTTTAAAAACAATTTTTATCTTGGTCTGCAAAACAGGCTTACACAGCTTCTAACACTTCTTTGTTGAAAAACAATTTAGCCTTTTTCAGTTGTGAAAAGTCATCTTCTTAAGATAAGGAGAACAAAACACAAAGGCAGAACTTAACATAATATTTTTTCCCTAGTTTTACATGCTATTGATCTTATCAGCGCTCATTTTAATTTAAGCTATTTAATTTTAGGTTTGGGCAATACTTTGGCTGAACTTATCGCATCACATTTTTGTATGTTTTTTTGATATATTAAATCCTTAATCTTTTCTGTCAGACAGAAACTTCTTGTGCTTCTGTTGAATGTTTTTAAAATGCTTGGTAAAAGTTTCCATTAGTAAGTATCATTAGATTAATCTGAAATTTGAACGGTGGCTTATATAGTATTAACTTCACAATGTAGATTTTTTATGTGTGGGTTAGCCCACTCATGGTTAAAAATATCTCTAAACGCTCCGGAGTTCAAACTTGGAAAGACACCACGGAAAATGAAATGGAAGCATTTCTAGAATGCCTTATGTGAATGGGATTAGTTCAGCTTCCTTCCCTTTTTGCCTACCTGTAAAAAAAGTTTGTATCCAAAATTCACTAAAACAAGTTTTGTCTAGAAACCACTTTCAAGTTTTGTTAAAAATGTGGCATTTTACGAACAACGAACAAGCTAATATGGATGACAGGCTACTTACTATCAAAGTTACAGGAAACTTTTCAAGCTGCCATAGTACTTGATGAATATATTGTTATAGATGAGACACTTGTTCCTTTTAAAGGAAAGCTAAAGTTTAAGCAATATATCTTGAATAAACGATTTAAATTTGGAATTAAACTTTTTAAACTGTGTTTGGAGGGGGGTTATTTATATGACCTAAAGGTGTACTGTGGAAGAGAAAAAGAGGTTTCAGAAGAGCAATCTGTTCCATCTCAGGTTGTTCTGAACATAACCAGAGACTTGCTAAACAGCGGAAAAACCATTGTAGTGGACAATTATTACACATCAGTAGAATTAGCACATAAATTGCTAGAGAATAATACCCATATAATTGGAACTCTTCGTAGCAACAGAAAATTAAACCCAAAAACTGTTTTGCAAGCCAAATTAAAACGCGGAGAAGTTATTGCAGAAGAAAGCAATACTGGCATTTTTGTAGAAAAATGGAAAGACAAGAGGTATGTCCTTATGCTAAACACAAAATTTTTACCAGAAATGGTGGTGGTCAACAGACATTCAGGTGAATTATTGAAGCCCAAAAGTGTGCTGGAATACAACAAACATAAGGCCTATATTGATTTATCAGGTAACTTTATTATTTAAAAACATTTTTTTTGTTACTGTAAAATTGTTTTTATAAATCAGATGAAATCATATAATTCAGCTTTACGTAGAGCAGTTAAATGATATAGGAAGTTGGCAATCGAACTTGTTATTGGCGATGCAATTGTGAAGTCTTATTTATTACATCAAAAAGTAACCAACAACAAAATGAGAGCATCACAGAATTTCGTGAGGAAGTCATAAATGGTAAAATGTGTATTAAAGAAAAAATGATAGTAAGTATTATAAGCATATATATGTACGTTTTAGGACTTACAAAACTTGATAACTGTCAGACTGTCGACGATTAGAGCCAAACAGATCAACACAAGCTTATAGAAACCGAAAAAAGGCGATCCTATTCCGTGTGCTACGCAGAACTCTCAATAAAATCAGGAAGAACAGTTGACAAAAACAAAACCCTGAAAACAAAACTGTATTGCAATCAGTGTTCGAAATCTTATTGTTTACCTTGTTATTTTAAAAAACATACATCTACCTCAAAATGAAGATTTTGGAAATGCTAAAATATTTAATTTTTTTAATTGTAGAAAATCCTTCTTCAAACCCATCGTAAAATTCTCTGTTAAAATTTACGTGTTAAAAGGGATGTTTAGCCATTCTGAATATATAATTTTGTTGGTGACTCACAGAAAAGCTTTCAAAAAAATTTAAATATATAATACTTTCCAGTTCAGCTTAAAAAAAGAGCATAAATTGAAAGTACATCCCTTTTATTAAAAATTATTTTTTAAACATTTTAATACTATCTATATATCATTGAGTAAGATTTACAACAATGCTTTATTACATTTTATAAAATTTACTGAAAACCCATTTTACAATTTAATAAATATGATAAACAAATATACAATGTTAAAACTTATGTTTATAAATAAAATAAAATATATCACATTGTATTTACAATTACATCATTTTAAATTCTTGGACTCACTTTTCTTGTTAGTAATGCATTTTTCAAATTCTTTAAGTGTATTCTGTAACTCTTCAAATCCTACAATTTCACAAGCTTCAGATAATCCTAACCACTTAAAATCTTTATGTTCATCTGACAATATAACTTTTGCCTTTGGGTTAACTAGTTCTGCCAAAAAGTAATGAACTTCTTTTGGCTTATTATTAACTTGATAATGTAATGTTGTTTTGCAATCTTCATACACTTTTAAATCATCCTTTGTAAGACCGGATTCTTCAAGAGTTTCTCTAAATGCAGTGACCATAATATCAGTCTCTCCAGGATCAACGTGTCCCTTTGGTGGAGTCCAGTGGTGTATGCCATAGGAAGTTTGTAATAGGAGGTATTCAATATTGTTTACTATTCTAAATACAACAAATCCAGCTGCAACTTTCATTTTGTTGAATATATTCTAATCTCAGTACCTATTCTAATATATTTACTGAAATCACTCATATGAGTTAAAAATTAACACTGATATTATTGTGTCAAATTGTCTCAAACACAAATCCCGTATGGATAATTCAACGACGTATATTACATCATTTACATCTTTGAGATAACTATATCGAATTTTTAATTATAATTGAATTAATCACTAATATCACTATATAACCTCAAATATTCTCTATCAAATCAACTTTCTTCTTTTAGTTTAAGTGTGGCATCTTACAATTCTAGCTCTACACTCGTTTTGGTTTTGAGTTTTGATCATTATACGTGATTATACTCATAGATAAATAATATAATACGGGCTTTACACCAACAATAAATTCATGAAGAAATTCGTGAATTCACGAATTTATTGACACAGAAATTGATGAATAAATTCATGAATTTCTTCGTGAATTGATTGTTGGTGTAAAGCCCGTATCATAGTAGAAATAGATAGGCAACTCAATGTATAATTTTCGTTCATTAGGACTCCTTGCGGCTGGGGTCAATACTAATCATCTTTTGGCGGCAAATTCGAATGGACACCCCATACATACATAACCTTTAGCGCCTCTTGCGCTATTTCTTTACTTAATTACAATTTACTGGAAAATAGGGATATATAAAAGATGCACATTTTTTTCTAGATACACGTATATTTATTTGTTAAGATAAAACAAATATAATTACATAATATTTATTACACATATTTTCAGAAGTTAAATACTATTATTTTTTGCTTCCTGACAACTTACTATCATCATCTTTTTGTAATTTTTCCATGATTTGTACACAACGGAACAATACAATAATTCACCATGTTTGGTTTTTTTACTAGCACAACACAAAAATTCTTTGCTACAATAGGTAACTCAAACTAAACTTTAAAAACTAAGTAACCAAATTTAAATTAAAATTAAATTTACTAAAAATAAATGCAAACGAAAGTTAAAGATAATAAAATTGAAAACTTGTAAACAGACGGAAGATCTGTCATTACTTTTGACAGAATTGACATTGCTTCGTTTGATTATTTTATTTGGTTTATGATTGGTTAAAGTTCTGTATATACTGTCTTCCTCTTTATTAACTCGCTGGGGTGAAAGCATCGAGCAATAAGACAAAAGAGGGAATCTAATCGTTATAAAAAGGAGACCAAAAAAGTGGCCTCTGATGGCGGACACATCCGGAAATGCAAAGGCGCCAAATTTAAATTTTTCGACACTTATCAACAGTAGCTATATAATATTTTTCAAAATGTGTCTTAGACGAGAAAGTTTTAATTAATTATTAATGATAAGAGTCTAAAATGCGACACAATTGTTAAAAAACTTCAATATAAATAAGATTTCATGTGACATTTGGGACAAACAATAACATAACCCAACTAAATTTGATGTCAAACAAGGAGAGAGACTCTCTATCCTTGTCTAAAGTGGCCTCTCAAGATGGCACTTCCTGTCTATCAATATGTTTACCCCTTCTACCTTTACATTCCCTCTTTTGTCTTATTGCTCGATGGGTGAAAGTGATGGGGGAATGAACCAAGTCATTCATATAAGATTCCAGGCCATGATTATACTCAACAACTGAATATTAAGTTCATCATAGAAAAAAATGTGCATCTTTTATATATCCCTATTTTCCAGTAAATTGTAATTAGTAAAGAAATAGCCCGCAAGAGGCGCTAAAGGTTATGTATGTATGGGGTGTCCATTCGAATTTGCCGCCAAAAGATGATTAGTATTGACCCCAGCCGCAAGGAGTCCTAATGAACGAAAATTATACATTGAGTTGCCTATCTATTTCTACTATTATATTATTTATCTATGATTAAGTTGTTTGGTGGTATATTATAAAATTAGCTTATTTATCCTTTTATAGTCCAAGGGACGGATATAGATGCATGCATCTATATTCGTTTGTCTAAAGCTTACATCCTTTGTATAATCGGAGCTAATAGACGAGACTCTTTTGTGAACTTTAAGATGTTTCATTATATTATATATCAGCTGGTTCTCCTGGTCCAACTGATTCTACTGAGCGTAATGATAATGATTATTTTTAAGCAATATACTGTGCTAGGTCGTAAGTCTGCATCCAAGTTAAGTAACTCTTATTTCAACATTGAGTCTTCACTGAGAGTGATTATCCATTTCCCAACTTTTTATCAAACGCTAGCAAACAGCAGGAACTAAAAATGGTCTAGCAAGCGACCTCTTCTTGAAGTACTTAGTAGACGTTAGCTATTACATGGGACGATAATAACCTTATTAACCGCTACCTAGAATGAAGATTGGGTTGCTTGTGCACATGAATGTCTCTGGTTTTTAAACCACGATGCTCTTTTCCTCATTTGAAGTCTTCTTCCAAATATTTTGCCTTGCACCACTAATGGTAATAATCTCTATTTTTCTAGAGTATTCTAGAGGGCAAGAGCGCAAAATACGTCAATTTTCTGATTTTAATAATTCCTATGGTTTTTTTTATTTGTTCATTCAAATTAACATCATGAGCATTTGTTAGGTTTTAAAATAGGAAATACTATGGATTTGGTCTAGAGTCTTAGAAACTGCCGATTTAGCCAAGGTTGAGTACCAACCTAATTTAAAGACATAATGTTTTAAAGGGGAAGAAAGGTGTTTTAGAAATATGGCCAGAATGTCGTCTGGGCCTGCACTGGAATTAATTTTTTAGGTGATCAAGAGAGAAATTAAGCTTTTGGTAATTAATTGGGCTTAAGATGTGATTTTCTTCAGGTTACACTAGGGACAAGATCGTTTTTTCTTTTTCTATCATAATTTTTAGGAAAGAAGCGTCATAGTTTTTACTTGATGAGTGATTTTCATAGACAGCAGCCAGAGTATCCGCAATTTTTTGTGGAGAAGTTATAAGGTTGCTGTTAACCTTCGGACTTGTACTGGGGGTAAAAAAATATGTCAACTTTTTTAAACTTCTGTCTAAGTGAGAGCGCCCACCAAACTGGCGTGGCAGTGGCAAGTAGCAAGTAGCACGCATCTAGCATGTTATTTTTAAATGTAACCAATGAAAAAAAAATATTAGAATGAATGACGTCACTATCATTTTGGTGAGCGCTGAATCATTCGTTTTCATTGGTTACATTATGCTAGACGCGTGCTACTTGCCACTGCCACGCCACTTTGGTGGGCGCTCTCCCTAAGGTTGCAACACTATCGCTTGCATGATTGAAGGCTGTCAGGTCTTTGCAAAAAAAAAATTGGAATTTTTTTCAGTTATATGGCTTGTTATATTATTTCTAATATTGCTAATCGATGAAAGAATCCGTTTAAATTCCATCGAATAATCGAGGTAAATGTTATTGAATAATAAAACTATAATGAAAGCAATTAGAACTGGGTTATATCACTTTCGGGATCAACTATTTTATCACTGATATAATTGATGATTTTAAAGGTCGATTCAAACACATCAGTCACGTCTCGTCACAGTCCCGGTGCCGAACCGAACAATCCGTCATACAAAATATTCTTTAATAGAAATATGCCGCCGGCATTCACATTCATCAGTTGACGAACAGTTTCCCAGCTGTCAGATATCTATTGTGACATAATGTGACATATGATATCAATTTAGTTCTGTGACCAAACAGGACCGGTTCGGCGCCGGGACTGATGTGTTTAAATCGACCTTTAGTCTAGTAATTCTTATTTTTAGACATATTTATTTTAAGAGCGCATATATTTGGCTTAGCGTATCAGTTAGGGGCATCGAGCAAAAAGACAAAAGAGGGAATCTAATCATTATGAAAAGGAGACCAAAATTCATAAAAGTGGCCTCTTAATATGGCGGACGTATTCGGAAATGCAAAGGCGCCAAATTTAAATTTTTCGACACTTATTAACAGTAGCTATAAAATATTTTTTAAAATGTGTCTTAGACGAGAAAGTTTTAATTAAATATTAACGATAATATTCTAAAATGTGACAATTATTAAAACACTTCAATATAAATAAGATTTCATGTGACACACAATAACATAACCCAACTTAATTTAGTTTCTTAAACAAGGAAAGAGACTCTCTTATAGAGTCTATATATATATATATATATATATATATATATATATATATATATATATATATATATATATATATAAATGTATATATGTATATATATACATATGACAGAGTCACGAGTCTTTAAGAATTGAACCAACTTGTATGTGAGTCTATCTCAATGTTTCGCTTGCCTTTAACTTCTCCCGGAGAATACCAGTTACTCAAGTATTCAACCAGAGGCTCAACGTGAATCCGATTCCAAGATTAAATTAAGTTATAATGTTCTACACTTTACGTTGCGATTTGTTGTGCGTGGACAACGTTGTGCGAAAACGTGAAATGACGTCCAAAGGATTTAGTAGGAAAATAACAATACTTTGGTATTATGATGGTACCATTTATTTATGACGTGCAGTGATAATATCTTTGATATTATTATATCTAGTATTCACTTTACTCACAACACTTTAATATATCAATAGGATAAAAAAGTCACCTTTCGAAAAAATGCACCGTATTAAATTAAGAACTACTAGTTAAACTAGCCATCAAGAGCTCCATTTTATGCAAAAAGTTTCTACCCTCCATCTTGTCCAACCTAACATCTCTAAACTGACCGCCTAAATGCTCCCATTTTCTTTCTGTTACGAGTCGACTTGGAAAAAAGTCAGTTCGTGGTGAATGAGCGACAGAAACTTGTGTTCCAGTTGACGGTTCACAGCGTACTGCTATTATTCTGTCTCCTGTAGGTGAGGATAATAGGCAGGAACTGGCATTTCCTAGAGGTTCAACGGTACCTGTACCTGAAAATATTTGTTTAAAATTAGATTAATTCAATGAGTAGTTTTAAAATATTATGCCTTGAACAAAATTAAGATATTGTTTTTTTAAACTTGGGAATGTTACTCTTTATAAAAGTCAATAGATCGAAATAGAAATAAGTTATAGATAGAATATCTTTTTTAATTTCTACTATACAGGGCGTTTCAAAAAGGTATGTCATAAATTAAATTACGCATTCCGGGACAAAAATAAATTGATTGAATTCAACTTTCCTTAGTACAAAAGTGTACACAAAAAAAGTTACAGCCCTTTGAAGTTACAAAATAAAAATTGATTTTTTTGCATGATCTCCTAAACTACTTGACACTTTGTAATAAAAACCGACACGTTACTTTCTTGTTCTGGAAGCATTTTTCATAAAAAAGAAACAACAA